GACCAACTCAGGCTGCTGCTGTGAAAGGATTAGGTGAAATGCTGTTATGAGCCACCACTACAACTGAGAAAAGAAATAGATCACATATGTTTGTTTGCAAATAGTCACTGGAGGTTTTCATATTGTAGTTTAGGCATTGCTTTGAGTTTTTTTAAATTTTGTAATTTTACTTTTAGTTTGAAAGTTAATCACTTCTGTAATTTGTGCTTGGATGTGTGTGTGTGTGTGTGTGTGTGTGTATTTTTTTCCCCAGTACAAATCTATTTTTAAATCATTTCATGATGATCAACTAGTTTATCTGATTCTTCACCTGTGATTTTCCAAATCCACAAGTATCTTTGAATCAAGTGATAGTTATTATTTGGCTATTTACTATATTGCAACATTGATCCCTTTTTTCTTCATATTTCTTCTGTGATACAAACATATATTTACTAAACTTGTTGTCAGTCAACTTCAACTTTTATGTTTAGGTCCCCCAAGATAATTACAATTGCTTTGAGATTTTGTATTTTCAAAAGACTCATAAAATTTATCAATTTCTTCTTTGATGCTTTTTCATGTGGATGCATATACCATGATCATTGCCATATTGAAAGACTTCCCTTTTAATTTCACTAGTAGTACTCCTCTTTGTCCAATATTAGTTTGACTCCTTCATTATTCATCTCTTCTCCCAAGAATATAATTTGGTTATAAATTCCTCATTTTTTCCATCCTGTCTTTGCACACTCCTACAGTTAAACATCAACCTTTCCACATGGATGCCATATTCTAAAAGGCAGCAATATCATCATTAAAATTGGTGTTCAAGTCTGTTGAAATTGTTGACGTAATTGTCTATCCTACTTATTAGAAGTAGGCATCAAGGCAACTGGTACATTTTATTATATTTTTTTACAATATTCTCATGCAATGACATTTCTTTACATTCCCTGTTCACATAATGTTTCAAAAACCAATCCTACACACTTATGTTTATCTTTTTACACGCATATTCATACTTGTTTGCTCTTTTTCTCTCTCTCCCCCTGCTATGTTTTGGTATGTTCAAAAAGAATCAAACCTATTATTCTTTTATGTGTATCAAAGATCCAAAATACATAAGGCTTTAAGTTTAAAAACAAAAATGTCCTTGGAAAATGTATTGAGAACCAGTTTTATCAATGACTTATTGTTATACTGAATATGAAAAGGACACAGTTTTTTTTTTCTCTCTCTCAATCTCTATTGTTGTCAGTCATATTTTTCAAGCATAAAAAATATCTTGTTTTTGGATGTTAAAAATTCAAAAGAATAAGTAGAATGTATTGGTGTTCAGAATGCCATGACCTAAGGTTTCTATTTTTAGATAATCATTTTGTTATTAAAAGTGTAAAGACTAAAACTTTTGAAATGTTTTTTTTTTTTTTTTTTATATATAATCATAGCAGAAATATTGAGAGATACTATATATGATAATGAATTTAAATGCAGCAATATTCACTTTATGATGTCATTTAAGTTTCTACTAATTTACTAGAACAATATTTTCCTGGTTGTCATGTGTTGGAGTTAAGTTCTTTTTTGGCATCCATTTTGTCTGATCTGTTGTCATATTACATCTAGATAGACATAACTAGAGAGACAAGATGAGGGAGAGAATACAAAAGAACATTTTTAAAAAAAGATTTATAACTTAAAAATATCATTTGCAATTCTGAGATGTAATTTTTTCTTTCATAAGTGGCCTTTATATATTTGAGATTAGTTTTTAAGGTTCTAAATGGTACCGGTTTGCTATTCATTTTTAAAGTGATACAGAATGTTAGGATTTATTATAATAAAAATTAGTTTTTACATGACCTGCATGAAGTCAAATATTGCATAATTATATACCTTGTTGTTTGTGGGTGTAATAATAAAAATAATGCAATGAATGTAAGCAATAAAAAAAAAACATTTTGAATATTGTTTTATCCCAAATTTCTTCATTTTATTTCCCTAATCCACTTGCACTTTTCAGACATTTACTTTATAACATCTAAATACCAACTAATAGGCGTGTCTAAATTCAACCCTTACCACTACACAGTATTTAGTAACTCTATTCACCTCTAAATGCAAAGACCTTCAATTGTGAAACAGGAAATAAGATATTAAGGGGAAATTGTAGGTATGATTTTACATTCTGGAGAGAATAGGGTGTGTAATTTTAAATTGAAGATTTTCTTCTGAGAAGAAACAAAACAAAAATGCTGTAGACATATTTTTTTACCTCATTTGATTTGTCAAAGAATATTTTACTATTGCATTAGTTTATTTATCTTCAGTCTTTCTTAATTTTATTTTTAAGTTTTCAATTTCCCATTTGTCTCATTTTACATTTTAATTTTAGTTTTATTTATTTTAATTATATAGTTTTTTGGCTTTGCTTGAATTACTCTTCTTTTATTTTGTGCTAAAATATTTGAAAATTCTATTGAACAGTAATATTAAACTGATTTGAAATATTTTATTTTAAATATATTTTGAATTTTTTAAAAGTATAATCATAATTTAGTTTTTAATTTTGCTTTTCATATTTTATTCTACTTTTTATGAAAATAAGATTTACTTTTATTTATTGTTTTTTAATGTTAATCCTGTTTGCTTATTTCACTTTTAATATTAAAAAATAATTTTTATTTTTATTTATAGCTTTTATTTTTTATTCTAATTTATACTTTTCCAGTGTTTACTATATATGTTTGATTTTATTATCATTTATAAAAATTTAACTCCTTTAGTAATTAAAAATTTTACAATTTTATAACATTATTCTTTGCAATATAACTGTTATCTTTGTTATATTGTCTGGATGATGCTAGGGTTTTTTTATGATCTGACCTGTTCTAACAGGTCAGATCATAAAAAAAACCTATCCAAATATAACATTATAATCAATATGAAATGAAACTATATGAATGATTTTACAATGATTTTTACATTGTTATAGTTTGATAAATATCTTGTATACAGTTTATGTCAGCAGGTCTTTTGATAATACCCGCAAATAGCCACTGGTGCCGACCCAGTATCGTTTAATCTGTAGAGTATGAAATACCAAAATGAAAATTTGTTATGCAGAAAATTTTCTATTCTTTCTCTTTTTTAAGTTTTGTCTCATGATTTCATTTTCAGAAAAAATTATTTTATGAAAACTTTTATTTTGTTTAAAAAATGTATACTAACTTTGGAGGCATGGTAGAGTAATGGATAGTGGCTCAGATTGAGGAATTGGAGATCCGAGTTCGAATTCCAGTCGAATCCATTAAATTCACTTACATGCTAATACCCTTGGTAAAGGTATGAATTTTTAAAATTCTTCTCCCTCCAGCTATGGGTAAAAAGCAGGACAGACCGTGTTCTATAGCCTTGGATGGCATCTGGTCTACTGCAGAAAGAAATGGCAACCTACTGCAGGAAAAAAAATCTGCCTCATCAGTCATATATCAAAAGATACATGATTGCCTAAGTGTGTATCATGCATAGCACATAACTGACTGACTGATACTAACTTGCATTTCATTGATGTGTTAGAAAAGTCATGGTTCAAATTTCATTTTTGATAGTTTCTTCATCTTATGTACTGGTTGTTCTCTTATGCCAATGATTGTCATTGAGTTTTTTGGGGGGTGTTTTCATTTGCCCATAAGATAATCCATTTTTGTTAATTTATTTCTTATCGAATTTATCTCTCTCTGTTTGGTAAGAGTTGGCATTTGATCGATGAGATTAGATCAGACAGGAAATTTCAAATTATTGACATTTATCAGAAGAAAGAAAAAAACTTGATTGGAAATAATGCCTCTTTAGCTAGGATTATAGAATATTCAGGATTTTTTGTATTGTTGCTTACATCATGGTCTGTTTTATTTAAGCTATATTTATGGTATTCTGAATGGAAAATTATTAAAATATTGGGAGTGTTTTAAATCTATTTATCTGCAGTGGTTTATATTCTTTAGAGTTACTAAACTGATTATGAGGGTGACATGTTTATAATTAGCACCAGAAACTCACAAATGGTAACTGATTGGAACTGATTATAAAATATGGGCTAATCTGAGTAATAATAAAGAAAATATTGTTTTAATAAACCTACATTTAATTTTTAATTCAGTTAGCAACTGTAGTAGGATAGCCATGATATTTATCTGTTTTTACATCAGTATATTATATTTAGAAAGTTTTAAAAGTGGTATGGAGATATGGTTTTGTAGCAGGAACTGCTTACATAATATACCAAAAGTCAATAAAAAATATAATTTGTAATTTTTCTTTTTACAATGATGTTCACCTTGTACAAGGCCCAAGAGATACTTGAGGTAGATGGTTTCAGAGTAAAAGTTACAGTTTATACAAATATGTGAGTAAGATAACAGTTAATTATAGACTTGAACAGGTTAAGATTGTAGCAATTGGGGAAGCATCCTCTTGGGAGTCAGTTCCACAAAGCAACAGTGCCTGGGAAGAAGCTGCTCAAGTGGAAATCTCAGAGCTCACCAATGGAATACAAAGGGAATGAGGGTGTTACAATGAACATAACATGGCAGGTTAGAACTGGTGGAACTAAGGAGTATAGTTCATCTGAACACTTTCCATGGAAATAGCAATAGAGCAGCAAGAGGCTTGTGGCATTTCATCTGTGAGAAAGGTGTTATAGGGTGACACTTTTGGACTGGAAAGTGAAAACTGGACAGCTCCTAACAGCAGCCTGGTCTGGCTCTTGTAGAATACATCAGGAGGAGTCAGGTACTTACTGGAATGGTACAAGAAACCAACCATTTTCTAGCATCTTTAGAAATGGATCATATGTACAAGTTCCACTTGAGGTCTGGATTGGGTTTATGCCCCAATAGACGTCAAGGTATGGGGCCTCCCCTGAGGAACATCTCTTCATTATGATTGGTAATAGTTCTGTGTCTGATTTCCATTATCTTTAGATTTTGCAATGTAATAATTTTTTTCTTTTTCAGAAATGTGAAAGATATGATTGCAGAGGTTGAGAAAAATGATGCTGGATTTATCATAGAAGCTAAAGTAACACGCCTGAGATGGAGGTTTGCTTACACCAATTTTGTAAGTAATATATATATTTTATTGAATAGAAAGGAAAAGAAAAATTATTTTAGCCCCATGATGTTAAAATCTATTGTATCATGCAATCATATGAGGCCACACTCATTTCAAACTTAATGACATAAAATGCTCCATTGGCTATCTTGATTTCTACCTTCTTTTATTGAAAATGATCATTGATGGTCAAAAATTCTCAGAAGATTAAATATAATTTCAACAAGATTCTTTCACCTAACATCAAATTATTTCTTAGACACCAGAAAATTCATTAAAAGACATTCTTTATCTGTTCTATTCCATAAAAATCTAAATGAAGAATTGCTTTCTGAATATACTATCTTTAATATATAACCTACATCTTTATGACAAAGGAAACTATTATTTCTAGTATAAAACTAGTTAGGATTAAATTTTGAATATTACACTGAATAATCGTGTATTATCAATGCAAAAATAGATGCACAGCCATTATAAAAATGAAGAAGGGGTCATGCCAGTATTAAGAACTGCAGAACTTATGTTAAAAATTAACTTTTTGTAAAATGTTTTATATTTATTTCCACCCTCAAAAAGTAATATTTCTACTTTTTGTTAAAAATTTTTTTTTCAGTAAATTTTTTTAGAACTGAAGATTTTGAGTGATTTTCCTTACTTGAAAATTTCTCATACTTTCATTAATGTTGAAAGTATCCAAAATTTTCTAGTTTCATATAAAAAGTTATAAGTAAATTTATGGCGCATCTTATATTTATTTCCATGCCTTTATATAATATTGACACTATTTGGGTTTGCTAAGAGAAATGTAGGATCATGATTTATTTTTATAACCCACTTTTTCACATGATATACTTTATTTCTTAAAGACTTAGTTTATAAAAACTGCACATGTATATTGTAATTTAATTTATAGCTTTCAATAGAAACTAAAATATACTTACTTATAGGGGATATTTCATCTGTATACTAATGACAATATAAATTCATTTTCACATGTAGATATAGTACTATGATAATTACTATTAACTTAATATTATATTGCCTTAGGCACTACATTCAGACTGAGGTCTGTTCACAGAATCTCAGAAAAAAGAAAAATTTCAAATTAGAATTTTTCAATTCAGATGCTAAAATAAAAACTTATTTCCAAGTACATTCATTACATTCACTTACAGGCAAATACCCTTGGGAAAGATAGGTATTCATACCTCCTATCCCCAGCCATGGGTTGAATAGCAGGGCAGACTGAGTCATATAGCCTTGGTTGGCAACCAATCTACCACTAAAGAAACTGCAAACTACTGTGGGAAAATCTACTACCTAGTCAATCATGAATTGAATGAGACATGATCATCCAAGCATGTATCACATGTGGCATTGAACTGACTGATTTCCAAGTACAGAAAAAAATCTCTTACTGCTTGATAATTTCTTTAAGTTTGTAAAATCTGCAATATCAATATCCAGATTATTAATTATTTTTAGCTGTAGTTTGGAGGTATTTACACAAATATAATTGTGCTGTTTGAAATAATTTTTCATCATTTAGGTCTCTTAACAATATTAGAAAAATCTGAGTTCCTCAATCCATACCTCCACACTTTTACTCATATGCTAAGCATAGCCTATTTCTATTTTTGCATTTTTCAGATTTTTTAATTTAAAATTTTAATAAGTTTTGTAACTAGGCAGAGAATAAAATGAATTTTTATTAAAAATATACTTTCACAGTTTTACTCTTTTGCATTTCAGGCTTGGAAGTGGGAGAAAAGATTTTCTGAAATTTTTCACGTCAATCCAACAAAATTCAAAGAATTATACTTCTACACTTACTAGTAAGTTTCAATTATTTTCAAATGTTTTACAATTTCTTTACTGGAAACCTGTTTTGAAAAAAATGATCACTTCAAATGATTAAGTTGTTAAAATTTTCAGTCTTGAAATTGATTTTATCTTTCCTTTTCATTTTTTTATAATATTAATTCATTTTACAATGGACATTTGAATCATAAGTTTTACTCATTTTAAAAGATTTTGCTCACAGTATTTTTTATCAATTCCCAACATTCTTATGCCTAATTGCTTTCCTTACCATTGGCAACTAAGGGACCACATATGAACAATTTTGGCCACCTTTCACACAACTATGTACATATTCAGAATTTTGACCCATACATGTTGTTGAAATCTTAATCTTTGTTTGTTCCTTTCCTTTGCAGCAGCCAAACACTCATAACAATAGATTTGTTCTGATTCCAATCACAGATCACAAAAAAAAAACTTTAAATACCCACACATTTTTTTTCTTTTCCAAAATTTTTCATATATTAGTTTTCAAAATGAATTTAACTTAAATGACTTTATGCATTTTCTCAAATTTTGAGCAGATTAGTGGATTAATATAACTTTGAACTCATAACAAAATGTTTGACATTTAAACATTTTATTGAACTAAATTATTATATCCAAGAACACTGGGAAAGAAATAAACATGTAAAACATCAAATAAAGCACCACATAGATATTAACTTCAGAATTAAATTATATCAGTGACAAACTGGAGTCTCTATTATAAATAGTTGATGCAGAACAATACAATTGCACTGTCATCATTATTGGCATTCTTATAATCTAAAAACGAGGTGATTGAGTGATTAGTAACATTTATGGTTTTTTCAGGAGGCACTCAGAATCAATTTGAACATTATAGAAAATTTAGCAATAAATAATCATTTTTTTTAAATACCCATGGTCTGTACTGTAAAATGTCGACTTGGTTGTTGGACTCTGCTTTCCAAATTAGCTAAGAAAAAGTATAAGTTAGTTTGTACCAAATTAGTGTTATTATTTTACATGTTAATATAGACTATATGGCATTTTATAATCTTCATCAGTTTTCATCAATTAACTTATATACTGTTTCAACTCTAACATTACTTGTAACTTGTTTTATTGCTTCCTAGAGACCTTCTTCTCTTGAATATTATTTTCCAATTTCATATACATTTCTTTAAATGATATACAACATGTTTTCTATTGGATTAACATCTTGAAAACTGATATTTGATGACTTTAAAACCTTTTTGGACAATAGTCAGTTTTGCTAAAATGTGAATGAGCATTGTATTACATTAGTGTACTCTTTATCAACATCTCTTATTCAAAATATATCTTGTCCAAAAACCTAAAATAATACCCTGAATTTATTTTTAACAATCATCTATTTTGAAGGTATCTACAATATAATACTAATCCAAAACATTACTCAACCCCTCTGTTGTCTTCTAAGTCATGCTAGCTAACTCTTTCTATGAAGAACCCAACCTCATCCATCAAATGTAGTTTTAAATTCATCAGTAAAAATTATTGAAAAATTATTTTTCATACACTTCTTTTCTCAAATTACACATTTCTTTTAGTGATTTTTACTGAAAGTTGTAGTTTGGCCACTTGTCTTAACATTATTTCTCTATTTACATTTGTAACACCAGGATCTTCAAATATTTTCTTGTTAGTCAATTCACTTTTCTTGTTATTAACCTTTCTTGTTTTTTATTTTTTTACAAATCTCTTTTCCTAACATTCTAAATGCCATATTTTTTCTTGTTCTTATATTGCCAATGTTTTTAATTTCTTTATTTTTTTTTTTACTATTTTATGTTTTTATTTCAATCATTTTGCAATTTCCAATATTTCAATCACTCAATAACTTTATTACATTCCTCATTTGAGGTTATATTTATCTTAGGACTTAAGGCAATCTTTACATACCTGAAATTAAAGATTGAATATCACTGACTATTATTATATACTAGTAGGACCTGTGTAAATTACATGGATTTACTAATAAATTTTGTAATGCTGCACTTTTCAACACTTGATCACTCCCAGATAAATAATGTCTAGTATAAAGATAAACAACATCTTTATACTAGACATATTGTTTATAATGAAGTAATGTGATACCAAAAGATCAATGGCATAGTACTGCCCACACTCACTCAAAAAGAAAGAATTTAATGCAACATACTCTGCAGTAAAAGTGATGGCCACTGTGTTTTGGAAACAGAAGGGAGTCATAGCAATGGCACCACTGAAAATTCTGACTCCTATATAAGCTCACTTTTAAAACTCAGTATAAGTTCTCTTTGAGCCTGGACACATTTAAAGTTGGGTGATTTGCTTCAGCAACATAATTATGCAAGGCCTCTCAGTATCGTAGAGATCAGACAAGCAGCCACAATATATGGCTGTACAACTTTGATCATCCAGCCTACAGTCATAACCTGACATCCTCAATCTTTCATCTGTTTGGATCCGTGAAGGAGGCACTCAAAGGACTAGTTCTCCAATAGAGCTAAGATGCACATTCCTAAGAGAGCAACCAAGCTTCTACAATGTGTGTGTGTGTGTGTGTGTGTGTATATATATATATATATATATATGCTGTCAAAAGAGTATACTAAAATGACAGACTGGAAAAAAGTGCTCAATACTGCAATGATAAAGCTTTATTTTATGTCTAATAATAATCCAGTCTACACACAACCAACAACTACTACTATCAGTTTCTTGCATGCAGTCTTCCGGTGGTTAGTATTGGTCTGTTTGGTGATATTGGTATATATACCCCCTTGGTTAGCTGAAGATATTATAATGACTGTAATTGGTGTATACATATAATTTATTCAATAACTAAAAATCACTGAGGTGGAAATTCCCATGTAGCTGAAAAATCACCACTATTTGAGGAAAAGAGAAAAAAATAAAATCTCTAAAACCCCAAAATAAATGTATAAGTGTGCCCCAAAAAGTTCTTGATGATGCAGAAACAGTTGTTCCTGTGCTATTGAGCACTTTTTGTTCATTTTGGTATGCCTTGTCTTTCTATTAAATCTTTTGCAATTAAAGAGAACAGTTTTGCTTTTGTACTGGTCCTTGTATTTTAAAAATATATACAAATGGAGGCAAATAGAATTTTTTCATTATTGCTTTATTTAAAGCTTTCCTATCTTTTATAAGAATCTTTATGTGTGTTTATTTTGAAAATGTAACCTTTGAAGTGAATTCACACAATAAAATTACTTTCAAATTTTTTTAATAATTGAATGCATAAAATAGTTTTCAAATAGTTTTTTCTCATTCAAATTCTAAGAAATAACAAAAGCAATGTTTCGGTTAAGTGAACTGTTGTATTTTTTCATATTGTCAAAACACACCTAGTGTTAAAAATATGTAAAAAATGACAAGTACATGAAAAATACATATAATCACACACACACACACACACACACACACACACACACACACACACACACACACACACACACATATATATGCCTTGGTGCCTCTGCTGTTCATCTCAAAGTCCTCAACAAAATCCAAAGACAGATATGCAATTAGATTGGTCCTCACATGGGGTCTCAACTCCAGTCATTTTCTCATTGACGTAATGTGGCTTCCCTCTGTCTTTTCTATAAATATTTTCATGGTATCTGCTCTACTGAACTATTTTCACTGTGCCCTGACTGCATAAATTTAAGCATGCTACTAGGTTGGCATCTTGGTCCCACCCTCTTACTGTTGAAACAGTTAAATGTAACAGCTTCTTCTTTTGCATTTCCCAACAATGGAACTCGCTTCCTCTTACTTGCTTCCCTGATAACTATAATCTTCAAAAATTTAAATGTAATGTCAATCGACATATTCTGTTGCTTTTATCCCTGTTCTTCTTTTTATTCTCCTCTGTTCTTCATTTTATTCTTTCCTCATCCCCCACCTCAACCAGTCTTTTCCCTTACTTACACTCTCTGTAGTCTCTTTTATCTACTAGTGGCTCTCCTGTCTTGCTTGGGGGTAAATGCTTTAAAAAAGAAAAAAGAAAATTGATGATTGCTAAGGTCAAGCTATCCTCTATGAAACGTGATGATGTATTTCTTAACGAATACTGATGCACTATCAGGATATAATTTTGTAAAAGCCACCTATAAAGAAATTAAATTTAAACTAAGACTTATTCACTTTATATACAATAATAAGATATTCTCTCTGCAACTCGTCCACTGATTTTTGGTCATACTTTGTGTATATGCTATATTTAGGTTGTTGTTAATTGAAAATCAAATGCGGATTCACATTTTATTTTTAAAATTATTCAAATAAGTGATAAATATCTTTTTTATTATTGCAAAATTGTCATGTTACAGTGAATGAAAGATTTTTCAATGTCAGATGACAATGTAAGTTAATGATGATCCTGGAATCTCCGTGTTTGTCTGTGAAGGAAATGTCATTCATTAGAGTTCATTACTCACATTTTCAGGACATCACTGTTCTGTACATGTATTGATTTGATTTCTGTTTCTAGTGACTTTACAGGTTATGGAAGTGGGATGGACCAAGATATCACTTACGCAATTACTGGTTATGGCATAATGAGTTTTTATGTCCTTCTCTCCTTAGGGCACTGCAACTGCCTTGAACAAAAGGTAACTACAATGATAAGATTTTTATCAAATGCTTTAAAACAATAACATTCATATCTCTGTTATTGAATTTTTAAAATCTAATCTGTAATGAAGTAAAATTACTTTTCTTTTTTTTCTTTAATTCACTCAATTGTCAATTGTGCATTAGTTTTATTAAATACTTTCTTAATCAGACTAGCATGCTCATCTCACAACAATGCAAACTTTTTCAAATATTTGTCTTTGTTCTTCTTGGAATTTTGAACTAAAACCTTTCTTCAATCCATAGGATAGATTGTTCACATTTCTGCTTTTAGAGGGAATGTTTCATATCAGTTAATACTTGCCAATTTTATTCACCTTTCTGCTGCTTGTCTGTTTCTCCTACTAAATAAGCCTGGCCTTGAGTGAGTGAAGCATGTAGGCCTGAGTGAGGCCCACTCTTCCTCAAACCTTGTGGACTGGCATTACAAAATCACAAAGAACTAACCAAATAACTGAAACTACATTAGTTTAGGACTTTCAACAACTAAACTGGATAGCACATGTAACTTGAATGATATAATCAACATGCTGACAGCCCACACAACCCCAAACAAAAAGCAAGAAAGAAAACTCCCATCAATACTGGAAAGAGCATTAAACAGATACTGGACTTCAGAAACAAATTTTCCTGAAAAATTGTTTTAAGGGAAAGATTTTATAAATTTCAACCAAAAGCGAGTCTAAATGCACGGTCAATTATAATGAAATGACTAATATTTTACTGAGGAGGTTGGCAGTGCCTAACAGTGACTGATTTTTTTTTTTTTTTCAGTTTTCTTATTTTCAATTTTTGTTTTCTCTCCTTTATCTCTCTGAGTTCATTAATGAAGGCTGGAATGTACAGCAGTTGAAATGTTGTGAGTATAACAACTAAGATGAGCATACTGGTTGAAATAAAAAAAAGCATATAATAATGAGAATTTCTTACATCAAAACTTCTTGACAAAAAAAAAAGATAATTTCATTAACATCAAATGGATTTTTACAAAAAGAACCTGTTCAGTTCCTAATGATTTTCTGTTTGTACACTTTAAGGAAATGTTGTAATGATTAGAATGAGTTCAAGTTTACCACAGGGGCTTTTCTGTTAAAAAAAAATTGAAAATCAAATCTAAAGAAAATGAAATGCTTGACAGAATAAAAAGCAAATCTGACTATTTATGAATGTTTAAAAAAACAAAATCTTGTATATACATTTTTGGTTTACACATTTTTGTTTTATTTTTTATTGTAATCCCTTCTTTCTTTTTTTTTTTTTTTTTTGAGTATACAATTTTTTCAGTCTTTTTCCATTTAATATGTACTTAATGATATATATATATATATATATATATATATATATATATATATATATATATATATATATAGGCTTAGTAATAGAAAAAATGGAAGTGATTACAATAAAAAAGGTATATAAACTAAAGTTTAATCTACTTGAAATGTTATGCATTTATGAATATTTTTTATTCTCAGATTGGTCTGACCATTGCAGGCATGATGTGTATTGCGATGGGATATGGTTTCACTATTGGGATGGGAGCCCTTATTGGTGTCAAAACTGGCAAACTCAATGACATTCTAGCTCTCATGCTTCTCGGTTTGTTAGCTTTTAATAATTTACAATACTTATGATAAAAGTTATTATTAGATTACATTTATAAATTTGCTACATTATTAATTATTATTATACTACATTTATTTACTCTGATTTACTATGAATTTTTGTTAAAACTGTAATTGAAAATCTTCTCTCTAGATTCTTTTCCTTTTGAAAGTATTTTTTCTTTTAAAACTGATTACCTTAAAATATTTTCCTTCCTATTGAGTAAATAATTTACTAATTTTGTTTACATGCATTTATAAAACTTGCCTTTATATAATCACATATGGGAAACATTGAGATTGATATAAATAATTAAGTATTGTACCTAACAAATTTTGAATTTTTACCATTTTTGAAATTTATTTACTCATGAATCTATTTAGGGATAGGCATCGATGATATGTTTGTAATCCTTGGAACGCTGAGAAATCTTTCTGCTGATATTCGTAGTCGTTCTGTCCCTGAGCAGATGGGTCATGTTATGAAACATGCTGGAGTATCCATTACAATCACCACACTTAGTGATGTTGTAGCTTTTGGCATTGGAGCTTTCTCAGTAAGTAAACTATAAAATGAAAGAAAAAACATTTTGGAAACTTTTGCTGTATGCATCTTTTTAGAATAGAACTTTACATAATAGTAAATCATTTGATTTACTATTATGTAAGGCAATAAACAGTTAATTGCTTAAATCTTTTGACTAAAATATTTTTTCAACTATTATATTATATTATATTATTGTGTTTTTAAAAGTCAGATACAGTGAAAAGAAGAAAGAATTTTTAGAGTAAATTTGTAAATAATCAAATAAAATTAAAAAACTGAAACAAAGAATATATAGCAATTTGAGAAATTATATACATAAGAGAAAAATTTAACATGAGAGGATTTTATATTTGCCATCATAGAAATTTAAATTATCTAAATGGATAGTAAAAATTAAATGAATAATTTATATTACAATTAAAAAAAAACTATGAAGTTACATTTACTTTAATAATTCATCTTTGATTTACTGAAGAATTTTTTTAAAATCTGACAAATTGATTTTTTGATAATATTTTGCATGTAGAAATGTGAAAACTTAAAATAATTGACTATATTAAAAATACTGATGTTACTGTGAAAAACAATTTTGGACATAATGATAATTTATTTCATTTAATGAGGTCATATTTTTTATGTTTTCTCATATTTTATCCTCTTTAAAATATTTTTAAATAATGAATCTATAAATTTCATATATATATATATATATATATATATATATATATATATAATTAATACAAGAAAAAGGTTTGTAACTTACCTGATTTGATGGATGTTATTACCTTCAGCATCCCAACTCCAGAGTTTCATAGATGGACTATCTGGGGATCACTCCATCCACTTGTCAGGGGGTATCAGCAATTGACTGCTTATACTTCTTGATTTTTCTTTTTTATATGCACTCTTCATTGGTGCAAGTTTCCCCCCCCCATGGTGTATGTGTACATGCATGTGTGCTCATCTGCATGTACCCTGTTGTAATTATTTGTCCTTTTCATGTTGTTTTTTTTTTCACTTACATTCTTTATTGATTTTTTCTTTTTTCTTTCAATTGTAATTTTGACTAATATATATATATATATATATATATATATATATTAAAAGAAAATCTTTATCTTTAATAAAATCTATTTAATACAACCTTTAGTAAATCTGAGGCAAATATAGCTAACACCATGCTGCTGCTGCTGCTGCTTCTGTGTGCCATATCCCTTTGGGACATGGGTGATCATGCCATGCTACAATGTCCTGTCCTTTGTAGTATGTCTTTTTGCTATGTCTTCTAATTCCTGTTCTGCCAACCATTTAAACCAGCTCATTAGGTATATTATGTGCTGCACTTCTCTGTCCCTCTTACTTTCAATATGTTTGGTATCAAATTTTACAAGCCCTCTTTTCTCATTATGTACCCTAGAAATTTCTTTTCTTAATGTTAAGTATAAGTTTCCTTTTTGTTCCCATTTTCTCTAAAACTTTGTCATTGTTTACATGTTCAGTCCATGATAGTCTCAGTATTCTTCACTAGAATCATATTTCTGTTGCCTCTAGTCTGTTCTTCATCTGTAAGAAGATTGTCCAGCATTCACTGCCATATAGGGAGACCAATATTACATAACAGTTCAGTACTCTTTTCTCTGTTTACAATGAAATTTTCCTGCTTCTTAATACTTTGCTTAGCTTTTAGAAGGTATCTTTTGCTATTCCAATGAACTTTCAGATTTCAGTGTTACATTTTCCATCCTCTGTTAAAACATTTCCTAGATATTTTTGTGCCAGTTTAATTTTGATATTTCCAATTTCTAATTCACATGTTGGGATGTTTCTTTTGCTTTCTCACTTTCCCTTACTGCCTTCTCTAGGAGTTCCTGTAGTTTCCTTTCTATTCTATCAACGTTGTGTCATCTGCATATCCAATGTTATTAAGATTAATAATGAATCCTCATAGGACTTTTAATTCTTTTAGGATTGCTTCACTGCAAAAGTTGAATAAGTCAGGTGAGAAGAGACATATTTGTTTTATGTCCCTTTCTATTTTTGTGCATTTACTGAATTCCATATGCAGGCAGTTTGCTTCCAGTATAAGTTCTGGATTATTCTAATATCCTTCCCAAATATATAAAGCATAGAAATGAGTTAAAAGCTTCAAATAAAATGAAATTTTTTAATTTGTATTATAATCAGGAGTATGTTTAAAAAATTTTTTTTTTTTTATTTTTTAATCCATATATTTATTTAATCCATAAACACATTGTTGAAATTAATATGAATAATTATTTCACCTTGTTTTCAGGTATTTCCTGGCCTAAATACATTCTGTATTTATAATGCTATTGGTATCCTTGCTATCTACTTTTATCAAATCACATTTTTTGCCAGTTGCATTAGTTTAGATTTGCGCCGCATTATGGCCAATCGCAATGCTTGCTGCTGGGTTTACAAATACAATGACTACAAACCAAATAACTGCAGCCAACTTGACGTTTTGCAAATGCTTTTTGAAAAATTTGCTTCATGCATTCTTAGTAAACATACAATCAAGGTTGGTTCCATTTTCTGCCTTCTCATTTTTAGTCACTTTTCATAAAAATCTAAATTTTATTAGTCACACAAATCTATCCACATATGTACACATTGACCTTCTTATTTATTCATCTGTAGGTAAAAAATAACATCTGATTGCAAACTCTTCATACATCCACTTTAAAGGGTCCATTTTTAATTACATGAACATGACTTGGCATTTTGAAACTTTAATCTCTTGTCTTTTTTTTATATCTTCTTAAAAAGAAATAATATGAAATAATGAAATAATTGTACATGTACAAACAATAAGTAGCCAATATCTAAATTTGAATCAACAAATGAATCAGTATACCTTGCTTCTTTTAATTTTGTAATTCATATTTCATGGTTAAAATTGTAATAATTAATAGTAATAATTTTCTCCTTCAGTTTCTCTTCCATTTCCTTCTTACTTGCCAATCTTTCTGCTTGCTCAGAAAATTTTATTTTAGCATTTTAAATATTAAAATGTTGTTTTTGATTTTATTTTGTAAATGAAAGTATTATAAATTTTCACATCATTAAAAACTAATTGCACATATTTTAGAAAGTGCACCAACTTAATCTTAATTAAGCAAAGAGAATTTGTAAAATTCAAAAAAAGAATAATACATAATTATTACAGTCAGAATTTTAACTTTTAGACTATTGTTAGGAAAAATACTATAGCTTTTGGAGAAAGTTCACGAAAAACATTTTACTTTTGTCATTAACAGTTCACAGATGCAAGCAACTTATCTTAATTGGTCTTGATGATGGTCAATATTGGTAAAAGTTTTTTAGAATGTGTATTCTGTATATAGTTTGAGCGAGAAAATGACCAGAATTCCTTGTGCTTTTCTTTGATTAGATTTTGGTACTTTTTATTACCTTTTGCATTGGAAGTATAAATCTTTGGTGTACACTGCAACTTGAAGCTAATGATGACTGGCAACGTGTCATGTACCCAACTACACATGTCTACTACAAATTCTACACAGCCAATGAAAAGTATTTCCCATCATTAAAGGTTGCCATTTACTGCAGTAAGTCACTTTTTACTATAATCTTTACTTTCTGTGTCTGGATAATTGCATAAATTGCATAGTCTTGTTCATTATGCTGTTCTTTTTTTTTGTCATTCAGCATTTATCCTCATCTTTGTTAACAGAAGAACTGATATTTTAATTTACACAAAGTAAATATAGTTGGCTCATTTAGAAGAGTGGGTGGGATATATGAGTAAATATTTATTTCTCAATCAATTTTAGGATTCTTCCTTACAGCTTGTACCTTGTAGATATCAGTTTAAAGAAAAAAAAGGTGAGCATAACATCCCAATAACCTCCATTTTTTAACCATATCATATTGAACCAACATATACAGGGTGCGATGGATAAATTGTCTTCTAAATTATGCGAAAATGAAAATAAATAACTTTTCATTTATACAGATATATTTACCAAAATTATACAAAAATAGCTTGAAATACTACAGAGTAAATTTATTCAATAAACCAGCAGCTGACTTTGGAATCTCCTGCAACTCTTCTGGATGGTTTCCTTGTTTAAGTTGGTGAATGCTGCCATAATCCTTGCCTTCAGTTCATCTTTGGTAATACAAGGAGTTTTGTTGGTCTCTTGCTTAACTGCACCCCACACATAATGAAGGGGGAGTTAGGTGGCCAAATGTAAGGGGTGATATGGTTGCAGAAATTGTCTGACAGCCATGACTAGTTTCTCCTGCTTGTGTGGCATGGTGCAGAGTTCTGTTGCCAGACATAGGGTCTTCCATCAGCCACCCACTTGACCCAGGGCATCACTGCCTTCTCAAGGCACTTGGTGTAAGCCTCTATTTTGAGTCTGAGACCCTCACCAACAAATTTGGGAGTTCTTTTCTTATCAGAATGATCAGAGTGCATTTTCCGAGCTGCTATACCTTTGTAATCACCATTAGACCCATCCAACCCTTTTCAAATCCTCTGCACTGTCCTCAGATTGACACCCAAGCAATCTGAAATGTTTGTATTGTAGTTCATGGCATGAATACCAAGCAGTACAATATGTCATTTGCAAATTTCTAGTGGAGTGAATCACGTCATGGCGTTCTTTTTCTCACAGACGGTGCCCAACTGACCCTACTATATTGTGCCATCAACAAAATCAAAAACAAACAATGCACATATGTGAAATTAAAAATATAAAATGGTAACAATTTACCCATCACACCCTGAACATGATGTGGTGCTGAAAAGTTCTTGACCTGACCCACTTTCCAAAATCTAACCAAATACCAGAATTTTGTGGCTGGTGGGAGTATCTCTTTTGATATTATTTCAGATCAGATGGGTTCTGTAGCACCTGAATCATTTCAGTACTTGAGTTTAATAAGTTAAGAGTTATGAAAAACAAACTTATCTCATTTGCATTCTTTTAGTATTTGGTCATCAAAAACTGTAATATGCATTGGAACACTACATACTTGAATTTAAAAATGTCAACAAAAATAGTCCTTTATCTTACTTGCTTACTCTTATTTGTGTTACTAGTGCTTTTCTTTAAACAGGACTTTTTATTTGAGAAAGTCAAAATCCAATTTACACATTAATAAAGACATATATATATATATATGTATATATATATATATATATATATATATAATTTTACAGTTTATGGTTTTGTAGCAGTATGTTATTTTGAAAGCTATATGATCTCATCTTCATATTCTGAAAACACTTATCTTATTTTCTTTTTTTTTAAGCGATTTCACCCCAAGGGGTTACTTGTTGTGGAAGAATTAGGAGCAGAAACATTAATTAATAATGTGCTGAGAGAGAGAACTTAAATTTTTAAAAAAAGTCTAGGTATCATAGCGAAAAGGTCATCCTAACAATTAACATGAAAGTATTTATAGAAAAGGCATAGGGGTACAACTTTATGGCAGTGGGAAAGAGCTGCCAGATCAGGACCAATAGTATTGCTGATTCTCCTTTGGATTTTATCAAGAAGCTCAAGGTAAATAGCAACAATATTCTAAGCATGGACAAATGGTAGACTTATAGATATGTATGATAGTTTCTGGAGAGAAAAATTGCCACTCACAACATTGTGAACAAACTTTCTTAGCAGCTGACCTAGAAATGGATTCAATATAGTCTTTCCACTTCATGTCAGCCGAGAATGTTAGCCCAAGCTGGGACAACAAAAAAAAAAGTCGTTCTCAGTAATTACTTTCCTAATCCAAAGAAAATTGGTCATCTTTAGGATCTACTTGCATGGCTTGTAGAAAAAAGTATACATTATAATTTTGGTAGAATTGAAGTTTTACCATTTTGACATTGAAAAGTCTTGATATTTACTAAGTCTCAATTGAATATCAATAAAATTTTGTTCATTTGTTATTTTAACTAATAACTTCCTAGTCATTTTTAGATGAGAGAGAAGAAATTGTTCATTCAATTAATGTAATTAACTATTCTCATTGGTTTGGCTGAGCAATAGATTGGGTGATTTAAGAATTTATTCAAGATATTGATTAGGTGATATTCATTCTAACATAGTGATTTACTAGAATGACTGTATTTTAGCTTTTTCAGTCAATCTGGTAATTATAAGCAGTTCCACTTATTGAGAATATTAATTCTTTTAAAATAAAAAAAAAATTGGGAGAGATTAAGTCAGTATTAAATATTGTATAGTTTGTTAAAATGACTGCAAAAGGGAGAGTGATTAATATCACTTCATAAGTGGTTTTGTTTATATAAATCATTGGTATGACAAAGTATTATAATCACTTATGTCTTCTATTTCATTCTGGGCTTTACTCACTAATATTTGTCACATTAAGTTTGCTTAATAAAGAATCTGACTACAAATAAAGTCAAAAAGTTTCTCTTTTGTGATGATTCTAGTATTTGTAGTATTCATGTAAATTTCACTTACATCTGAAGAGAATCAAAAATTTACTAGTTGAATGTTATGATGAAGTTAATTTTTTGCAATTACAAAGAATTTGTCCTGCCAACACGTCATTATTAAAGCCTTGTTTTTTTTTCAATAAAAAAATATTGTTCAATTCTTCTCATCTGAATACGTCAAATAACAAATTTATTTAGCAACATTTTTTTATGTCTATAATAACTTTTAGAAAGTAGAATATAAAGAGTTTTTCTTCTTGTGTCCACCACATAGGGTATTTTGAATTTTTCAGAAATGAAATGTGTGGAAAAGTTGACAATGACAACATTTCTTTCGTAGTTTGAAAAAAAAGGTTGTGGGAAAAATAACCACATCCAGCCATGATAACATAATTAATGCAATGAACAAAGTCTTCCTGTTATTCTTAGTTAGAATATGCTCCATCATGGAGAAAAGGTGTCCACATTATTTAGAAAATGGTGTTGGGAACAAAGGCAAGTTCAAGACAGGTTAAGGTAGAAATGTAAGAGAAATGATAATAATTATAAAGTAGGTGTATGTGTGTACTTCTGTGAGTCAAGAGGGACTAATGTAGATTTTATGTACATATTGCAGAATGCAGCTAGGTGTGCATTAGACATTTGTGATTACAATGATATTTGGTGGCTATCTTGTTTTGATTGCTACTTATCAAAATATATTTGATAAAAAATAAATTGCCTGAAAGATGAAAATATGACTTATCTAATTATCAGTGATGAAAAAGCATCCTGGGTATGACAATAAACTGTATCGAGCAGCAAGGCCTCTGATCAGGAGGTTTTGAGGAGTGTGGAACCACCTCTTAATTGCTGCTGCTCCCAGGTCCATCCTGACCCCAGGTGGTAGCACATGTTAGGGTCCCAGCTAAATAGGTAAAAATAGGTTCCAGGTAAATAGTTTTCCCCTCCCCGAAACTGGTGTCTGAATACTAAGAAAGTGTAAAGATGGGTTTTTATAATAAGAATACCAGCAATACAAATTGCACATTCACAAAAACTGATTCTCCTCAATGGGGGCCACCTGTTTGCCATGGGTGGTGACCTGTGATGCCTGGGGATGGCGTCCTGGTAACTGAGCAACTCCTGATCCAGTATAAAATAACCAGGAATGTCCACAACACGTCACTTCAGTCCCTACCTGGGATAGACAGATAGATGGAATAGCCCAATCCATTCCAACGGCAGGGTTAGAATGATAGATAATGGCTCTGACATGGCTGTGAATCCTTACACCATACTTGAATAGATATTGTAGGGTAATGTGGGTGCTTGTATCCACTTTCATTACAAACCATCTGCGTAGCCCTGGCAGATCAGAGCAAATGGGATTAGTCCCTCCTGATAGTGTTCCTTAAGAAGGAACTCCAAGGTGGGTGGGGAACACAAATGGTGAATACAAAAATCAAAACTATATGGCTATCTCTTATAAATGAACCAAGAGACAACATAAGACTTCTGAAACAGAAAGTGAAAATGAAAATATCAGAAAAAAAACGTTTTTTTCAACTTTTATATTTATAGAATCATTAGATGCTGAAATATCAAAAGTGTCTCCTTTTTGTGTTGCAAACAGTTATATCAGCTGTGATAGAATTGATATCTGTAAAAAAAAAAATGAAAAAAGTAATACGCTTTTAATTCAAGTAAAAACCAAAAAGAATGCAAAAGAAATTACTATAAGTCAAAAAAATAGACAATGATAAAGTAAAGGCTTACCCCTACTAATTTCTTAATTCATCTAAGGGAATACTAAAATGCCCAGAATTGTCACTCTGCTCACCAGAAGAAATTAAAAATGATGACACCCTAAAAAAGCAAGGAGTAACAGACATCAAAAGAATTCAAATAAAAAGAAATGACACATCAATAAACACAAACACGTACATTTTGGCATTCCACAGACCTACTCTACCTAAAGAGATAAAGATAGGATACTCAGTAACCAAGGTAGAGCCATACATTCCTAATCCCTGTAGATGTCACAAATATCAGAAATTTGGTCATCTACAAAATCAGTGTACAAAAGCATCAGTCTGTCGACGATGTGGGGGAACTTAAGTTGGATCATGAAGAGTCACCCTGTGATAGGCCTCCTTTAAGTCTAAACTGTAAAAAAAACACTCAGTAGACCCTAAAAAGTATAACATCTGAAAAAGGAAAAGATTGAATGTTATTCACTTCCAAAATCATAGCAAAAGGGACATAGATGAACAAAACTCTATCCTATCTCAAAGAAAGGAACGGTCATCATCCAAACAAAGAGTGTCAAAAGAACTTAATGGAAAATCTAAAGAAACAATATCAAACAAACAGGCAAAAACAGAAGACCTTCAAAGAACAAAACATTACAAGAAACAAAGTGATAATAGAGCAGAGAACATAGAAATTATGGATACTTCACCTACTAAGCATAAATCAGGGTCAAAAAACTATGAAAGCTTAAAAATAGGTTTTAATACCAAAAATACTTTGAAAAAAAATTATTACCAGTAATAAATTTTTAAAGGAAAAATTATTACCAGCAATACATTATTTCCAGCAATACATTTTTGGAAAAATATTACCAGCAATACATTGTTGAAGGAAAAAAGTATTACCAGCAATACATTTTTGAAAAGAAATAAAATAATACATTTTTGGAAAAAATATTACCTGCAATAGATTTTTGAAGGAAAAATATTACCAGAAATAGATTTTTGAAAGAAAAATATTACTAGCAATAAAAATGTTGTCGGCATTAAATAACCCACTAAGGTTGATATGCTGTAAAACAAATCAAACCAAACCAAGCCAGTGATGAAAAAGAAAAATATTCAGGCAATCTAAAAATGCTCTGTGGATTTTACAAGTACTGGAAAGGCCTTCTTAGTCATCTGATCATTTTTTTTCTTGTGCTAAAAAGATTTATATTACTTCTATATACTGCCACTAAACAAAAATAATAAAAAAAGAATGCAACTTTTTTACCTTTTAATTTAATAAAGTATATGGTACTATTAGTAGATATAGATGTAGTGAGATTAAAATAGATCTTTTGTGTTAAGAGAGTAAGTGAAATTTGGTACTATACATTCTGCAACAACAAAATGTCTGATTTTAAATCTTTGTAATATCATATAATTTGATTATTTTTTTGTTATTGTTCTTTAAATGAATTTCATTGTTATAAAGAGTTGGTTTATCAACTTGCCATAGTTCTTACAACAGCCACAACTACAGCTGTTACTTGAGATTTAATCACATGCAGAAAAGTGCAGAAAATTGGTAAAATATATTTTTGAAACCAAATTTCATACAAAGACAAAAGTTCTGCCTAAATTGTACAAAGCAGAAAATTTATATTTGTCAAATATTCATATCATCCGAGATAAAGAAACTGCAAAGTTTAGAATTATTAAATTTGGATTTACGTTGTGGCATTGTATCTAAAAAGCAGATTTCCTATTCAAATTAGAATTATACAAAATCATATTGTAAAATTCTTCAATTCTACTTCATGGCAAATGCCATCTTGTTCTTGGTCATCACAATTGCCTGAAAAGTCTAACACTTAAAGAGATGTACTTCTTATGTAAGTTTTTCTTTTTGAGATTCAAAAGAATTGATATTTTTTAAATTTAGATTTTTAGTAGGGTCCTATTTTAAGAATTTTTATTTTAAGAATTTTCAAGAAGAAATCCTTTCTGTTGCACTTGAACATTAGACAACATAAAAGATTGCGAGAATTCTACTGAAGACTCTTTTTTTTTTTTTTTGGCTTCTCTTTTATGTTATCTAAAAATCAGTCATACAAAACATTGGAACTCTTAAGAACATAAACTAAAGAATTTCCACTTGAAATATTCATTTTCATTGCTATGCATTGAATCTCTTGATCTAAATAAAAAAAAATGGAAAGAAATTCATCTAGCACTCAGAATTAAAGCATTATGCCTAATCTCAAAATCCTTTTTATTGGATTGTATCTTATTGGAGGCAATTTTGTTGACATCTATAATACTTTAACTACCTGTCTGAAAGAATGGTCTCAATTGGAATGTGATGCTGTATGAGCTGATGCTATAAATAAAGCTGCTTTCATCACAGATAAAAGTTATTTTGTTTTTCATCATAGTTTTATCAATATTACAAGCATGATGCCAGGTGCTATTATCACTAAGTTAGAAATAAATGAAGTTTTAGTTTATTGTAAAATTGAACTAAAATAAATAGATGTTTATTTTTTACGTAAGTTGTTTATTGAACTGATTCATTTGCTTCATTTGTTAAGTTTAAATATTTCTTCAACTTTCTATTCTTTTCTAATTTACAGTAGTTTACCAAGAAAAATTCCTTTGCAAATCCTATTTTTACCAAGATTTCAATCATAATCCCAAGTGTTTTCATAACAAATGAACAGGAGCATTATTAACAAATGTTGTCTTATTGTGCACTTAGTTAATTGATATCCTTTGAAAGTATAAAAGAGAAATAATTTTTTTAAAAATTTGAAGATATCTATCCACCATTCAATTTGTCTGCACTTTTTCATTTTTTTTTTTGTACATAAAATATGGTTAAGAACTGTTTTTTCAAAAATTATTCATTGTTAAAAGTTTTACTGAATTATAAATATTTTTTTCTTTTTTTGATTGGATTGACTGTTATCTCAAATGGAAGCATTGAATTATTTCAACTTCTTTTTTTTCTATAAAATTATCAGATTTAGAAAGAAAAATTTCTAATTTTTGACAGACAGCACGAACATGGAAAATGTTAGAATAAATAAAGGTAAAAAGGTTTTCATAGCCCATCTTTTTTTATAAATTTTTTAATAATTTCAAATTTAGAGCTTTTTTTTTTTTCAGAAAAGATCAATATTCAGAAAAATGAAGTGAAACTGTTCAATATGAGCCAAAGTATTATGCACAGTCCTTATATAAATAATTCCACTGTTGAAAACTGGTTTACAGCTTTTTTGCAATCACCACAATGGAAAAATGCTCACAAAACACGTAAGAATTATTTATTTATTTCAATATCATAATTATTTTAGATTCATTAATTTTGTATAGTTTATGTCAGGGATGTTCATATACTTATAGAAATGTAAACCAACAAAACCTCTTTGAAAAAATAAATACCTGAAATTTCTTATGATGGACAAAATTACTCTGTTTTTCTTTTTTATTTTCCTATTGAATCAAGTAAGCTGTATTGAGCTGACCAAAAAGTTTGTTTTTTGTCAATGTGTTTAGTTTTAATTAACTTCATTCAGAATAATCATTTTTGATTCTGTTATGGCAGCTGTTATAGGAATAGAAATTTAAAAAAGAATTTTTGCTAAAATTGGTATATTTATCAATTCCTATATTGATGATAGAAGCATTATATTATGCATTTTTTGTCTTGAGAACAGTAAAAAAAAAACTTTGTGCAGTTTATAGATAAATTGCTAGGAATGATCAAATGTGTCAAAAGTAGTTTTCAGAATTATGTACTGAAAGTTTCTTGCTGAATGATGCTTGATGATTGTCAGGTAGAGCAACAAATAAAGGCACTACTTGAAAATAGTCAATGTCAGATGATGTAGGAGATGATCAGCACAGACAAAATATCCAAATGTTGAAATTCATTTGCACTAGTTTGGCTGTGGGCTGTATTTTTGTATGCAATTTGCTACTCAAACATGAAAATGTTACATTTTTTAAACAAATGAAATGAACAATAACTAACTATATTAAAGGTAAGTCTTCATCCAAAGAAGTGGATATGTATATGGAGGAATTGAAAAGTTGTTTTTGCAAATAACTAAAATATTTACTGAAATTGTATTGATCCCAATTAAAGCAATTGTAGACAGCAATTGATGAAAAGTGTTTGATCAGAATTAAAATAATATGAATAATATGCTATTAGGACAATACTAAACAACAGATTTTAGGAGGCAAATTAGCAAAAATTAGCAGGGAAATTTTAATTCATCTGCTGTATTCATTTGATATTACATCTTTGGATTATCATTTATTCTGGTCTTTAAAGAATTTTCTTAATGAAAAAAATTTCAAGTCTCTTGACTGCAAAAGGGATAAAGTACAGTTTTTTGCAAATAAAGATAAAAAAGTTCTGTGGGGTTGAGATTATAAGATTGCTTGAAAGGTAACAGAAGATTGTGTATTTCCTTTTTTATTGCACTATGACAGGTTTTCTTATGCAATTCAATATTTTCACAATAAAAATGATATTAACCAACCAACACTAGTAAGAATTTCTGGATATATATTTATATAGGCAACATATGATACAAGTTTCAACTCATAAAATCTTTCCTTGTCACAATGTAAAATTTTTATTCATGAATAAATCCAAATGATATTGCCATAGAAGCATATATTTAATTAACACATTATCCTATATGTCTGAATAAACTTTATTAATTTACCTGTTAATATGGGCTTATTTACACTATAATGTTCATCAGTTTTTCAATGATTGATTTTGTTAACTTTTCTACTTCTTTTAACTGTTTTAAATGTAACATTATTACTTGAATATTGTTTTCCATTCTTTTATACATCACTTTTAATGATGGACTCCAAGTTTTCTGTTGGATTAATATCTGGAGAGGCTGGAGATCATCCCACTAATATGAAACTTTTTTGTAGAATGTGAAGGTGCATTGTATGTCAGGAATATATGTCTTAGCTTAAAGCTTCTTGGTTGTAATGTGTACTACTAAAAATGTCTTGTTCAAGAACCAAAACTAATTCTCTGTATTCATCTTGAACCCTCAGCTTTGATGGGACCTACAATTTTACTGCCTACAGTAATAGTTCAAAACATTACTCCATCTCCACACTATTGCATAGCCATCCAATATAGCTTTACATTTATTACTAAAAATTGCTGTTTAGAAATCAGTTCTCATGTAATCAACTTAGATGTTTCTCTTTAATTTTTGCTTAAATGTTGTACTTTAGGTTCTTTCATGTTTTTCGACAATTTTTGAAAATATTCAACATCTTTTCTCTCTGTTTACATTCATAATATGAACTTCTTCAAATATTTTTTCTGATCAGTCCACTTTTCTAATTACACTTTTAAATTTTCTCAAATCTCTTTTTGTAACAGTCATAAAACCAATTTTTTTGTTCTTGTTTTTAATTTCTTTTTTTATTATTCTCTGATTTCTGTTAACACTGAAGACTGCAAAAAGTTTGTTCTCATCACTTAATAATTTTACAATATCTTGTTTCTCCTTTGAGATTATCTTTCTCTTATGACCTATGCCAATCTTTATAACCTGAAATTAAAAAATAAATATCAATAACTATGCTATTATATTTATATTGCAATATGAAGAACATTTCTTGAATTGCATAATAAAATCTCAGCTCAGCAAATAATTTGTTATAAATATTTCTAATAAAAACATATTATAAACTGATATCCACATGGAATATTTATTTAATATATTTTATATATTTAAATGGACACATATCCTGAAAATTTCACTACAATTAGTCATATCAATTTCATTTTGAAAACAAACCTGCATAATAAAATATAAGGTGAATGTTGTTCCTTGCCTAAAACAAGTGTAGAAAATGTTATTAATGTCAACAATTAAAAAAAAGGTTTCCTTTTATTTTTATTTAAAAACATTTCCTTTATTTTTATTTAAAAATGTTTCCTCTTAATTTTATTTAATTTATTAAATCCAACAAAATTTTTGGTCAACAAATATTCACAAGTGTATGGTTAAAATTTTTTATCAAAGCCATCAAGCTTAATTTCCATTGATATTTATTCATTTTTTTTGTTGTTATTTTTTATTTATTTATTACAGAGGATACCTACAATAGCAATGAACTGGAAACTTTTCTAAAATCAGAAGCTGGAAAACCATATAAATCTTATATTGAGAGGAGTAGGATAAAACACTGTTTAACTTTTGTGCGTTACTCCTCCTTCTGCTCTAAAATTCCTGCCTGCATTGAACGTTCAACACTTCCAAGTTTTATAAATGCATCACAAATTACAAATTGCACTTCACAAAGTGTAAACTTTGACTTATACTACTCATTATGCACTTGCAAACCATTATATTATGTGACATGTGCTTGCAAGCCACCAAGTTGTGCACCATCAAATATAACATCATTCAATGTAACATGCTACACAGAGTCAAGCTCAATATGTAATTACAACCAGTTAGATAGTAAAAAGGTTCTAGCATATAATATGCAATGCTACAAAGAAGTAATGCAGATTTTGGTAAGTTATCATATCTGAAATGTTCTTTCAAAATATCCTCAATTTTTTTTATTTTCTCTTGCTTTCTACAGATTGCATAAATTTCTTCAAAATGCTTCATTTTTCTTGTTACATGTGGATTTCATCAAGAGCTTTTTAAGATTAATTGCCTGTTTGATTCAGCTCATTCAAAACAGTGATTTTCACCAGATCTTATGTATGATCGACAAATTTGCTTTTTATGAATAAAAAGTTTTGTAAATAAGAAATCACTGTTAGAAATTGTAATTGCAACATTTTAATTGTCAAAACAAAACCATAAAAAATGACGTTATGTCAAATTATGTAAAAAATGTCATTTATTTTAGTTCAGTTTTGTCCATCATAAAATTAATTTGTCTTTATTCTAATTGTCCAAATATACAAAATATGTTTATTTCACTGATAAACAGACATCTGTCTATAAACAGATTCCATTATATTAAATTTCAGATTCTTCTAGATTTTAGAAGTATAAATCAGATTAGTAAACAGCATCTTCCTTGCAACATGCACTAGGAATACTAAATCATGCCACTAACTTTAGTATTATTTATCTATAAAACTATCAATCATTAAACCATATAATAATTATTAATAATTATGTTACATATTTCATCATTGAAAAAGATGTCATCAGACTAATAAGTGTTTTATCAATAGAGTTTTATATACAGACACATACACATATAACACATTCTATGGGCTGTCGGAGACAATCCAGGTATCAGCACGTCAAGCGGCCTAGCATGTTGTACATCTCATAGTACCGCATGCAGGGTACTTCAAGAGCGGCCCCTGTATCTGTATCATTTGCAATGTGTGCAGGGTCATTTACCCTCTGATCACTTACCACAGGAGAACTTTTGATGATGGTTTATTGCACAAACTGCTAATCTGTTGTTTGTCTCTTTGATTTTGTTTATGGACAAGGCAACATTTGGAAGAGATGGAATAAAATATTTACATAGCCAACATTGTGGGCGGGTCGGAATCCCCATGGTATAATACAGGGTAGACCTCAGTTTATGATTAATGCGTAGGCTGGAATTGTAGATGATTGTCTGATTATTCCATATGTTCTCCCAGCATGTCTTACAGAAGCTGTCTAAACAGATTTCAAGCACACTTTCAGATCTGCTAGACCCTGCTAATATGAAGACACATGTAGTTCATACATGATGTGACTCCAGTATATTTTAGTCACATTGTTCATGATGCACTGGCTGACATCTACCATGAAAGATGTATAGGTAAGGGAGGACTGGTTCAATGGGTTGCATGTTCCTCTGACTTCAATCATTTGGATTTTTATCTGTGGGGCCACCTAAAACAATTGGTTTATGCAGCAGACATTAATAATGCAGAGACACTTCATCAACATGTCATAGAGGCCTGTAAAGCCATTCAATACCGTGTGGGAGGATTTGAAATGGTCTGCCAGACAATGACCCGACAGGTACATACATGTGTAAAAGCAAGCGGTTACATTTTGAACATTTGTTATGTGTTGCTATGTTGAGGTACAACAATTGCCTTTTGGACATATGTTTATATGGACATTTTTACCTTGTTTTGATGTCAGGAACCCACACCCAAAACTTTGTAAAAGTATTTTTGGATTGTATCTTGGATTGTACATTTAACATCTACCATAAATTTTAAACTTAATAACTCAAATTTGGAGGATTTGAAGGATATGTTTATATGGATTTTTTGTTCTTGTTTTGGTGTGAAGAATCTGTTTCCAAAGGTTGTGTGTGTGTGCATATATATATATATATATATATATATATATATATATATATATATATATATAAAAATACAACAGTCAGTTACAATTTTACACCAAGAAATACAGAAGATACAAGGATACTGTGGGGAAAATTGTGGAAATGGCTTACCTCAGAAACGCGTTCGAATCTGCGCAGTATGCAAACTCTGGTCCTTCCAACAACAAAAGAAACCAAAATGGCGGCGCCCACGTTTTATGCCGGGCGGTCTCGGTTAGTTAACGCGAAATCTCGTTGTCTCGTCATTCGCATGCAAATCGTGGTCAGTCCGCGGCTGTATAAAGCAAGCTCGTTTTGCTGTTTCAGAACACAGAGCTTTTGGCTCGTGAGAAGGTTGGACGTGCGACACCAATTTTCTTTGTGCCTACCTGCTATCATTTGTTGAATTGTTGCGTTACACACCACAAGCTATTTCAGCAATGGACAAGTTCGATTTAAAATTGATCCCAGAATTCGACGGCTCCCCCACGGGCCCGACTATCGTCGAATGGTTTGAAAAGGCCGAACGTGTTTGCAGGGTGTCCAAAATAAAGGAACCTGCACTAGTCATCCCACTAAGACTCACGGGAGGAGCCTACGCAGTATATCAACAACTCGGGGACGATGCTGACCTAGAAGAGATCAAGGACGCCCTGTATACGGCCTTTGGAATAGACCCATTCATCGCTTGGAAACAGTTCGTCGGACGACGGCTCGAGCCGGGTGAGACCGTGGATGTTTACCTGGCTGATTTGCGAAGGCTGGCAGTACCGTTTGGCGGACAACGGACCGCATACTGGGGTGCGCCTTCCTGGCAGGGCTTCCCAACGACACCAGTCGGCTCCTGCGAGCGTCTTCAAGATTGGACACACTGGGAATTGACGAATTGCTAGCCAGGGCCCGAAACATCTTGAAGGACACTGAACAGGTCGCGGCTGAGACACCGAGGGAGGGCCCAATGTGCTACAAGTGCGGTGGACCCAACCATTTCTCTAGGGACTGCCGGAGCCGAAGTGACGTAGGAGTTGGGAGCAGCAGACGGAACCGAGCCGACGACTACGCTGCTATCGCTGCAAAGAGTTAGGCCATGTAGCACAGGATTGCTCGAATGAGTCTGGGGACAAGGTGCTGTCGCAAACCCTTGCCCCCTCTCGGTCAGTAAATGCGGCATTGCCTGTTGTCAACGTGTGCGTTGAGGGTAAACGATGTTCGGCGCTTCGTTGACACTGGATGTTCCCTATCGATCGTTAGTGCGGATCGATCGTGACATGGAACAATCAACAAATCGAGATTCGAACGATTGACGGGTGTCCCGGCCTGTTGTGGTGTCGGGACTGTATCAGTCCTAACAGACGGAGGAATCATGCCAAAGTCGACGTCTTGGTGGTACGTCAAAGGCCCCCGGTACGACCTGCTACTTGGGATTGATGCGATCCGAGCGTTAGGAGGCATGATGATCACGCCAGCCGGAAATGTGGAACTGGGTGAAAGAAGAAGGGTGTGCAGCCCTTTGCATTAGTGAGCCGGATTTCGACGTCTCCCTTCAATTCCGACAAGAGGGTGTGGACCGCCAGGTGGAAATGGGCCCAAAAGACCTGCCAGTTCAGCCGCAACCAGGTCGCAGAGTACAAAGTTCCCGACAGCATCAAAGGAGAATACGAAAAGAGCTTCAGCAGTGGATTGTGAACGGCTGGCTGATTCCGTACCCCAGGAAAGACTGGGACCCCCAAAGGGTCTGATTCCCTTGATGGCAGTCGTGCAGGAGCAGAAACAGAAGGTGCGTCCGGTACTCGATTACCGTGAATTGAACGACTTTGCCGATGCAGAAGTGTGCACACATAAGTTGAGAACGCGGCGGCGGCAGGGGGTCAATGTGTCGCTTCTGGATCTGCGGAATGCATATCTTCAGATTCACATCAACGAAGCGCTGTGGCCATTTCAAACGGTTATTTTCAAAGGCCAACGCTTCTGTCTTACGCGGCTGGGATTTGGGCTAAATGTAGCGCCACTCATCATGAAATCCGTTATAGACGCCATCACATCGCAAGACCGCACAATTGAAAGTGCCACATCAGCATACGTTGATGATATCTTCATTAATGAAAGTTTGGCCTCTGCATCGCGTGTAAGACAACACTTTTCGGATTACGGTTTGGTGTGCAAGGATCCGGTGCGACTGAGAGATGGAGCAAGAGTTCTTGGCTTGCAGGTCTGGGAAGAAAATGGCACCCTCCGATGGAAACGAGGAAGTCAAATTCCGGAAGTCCCTGATGTGTTGACCCGGGGCGCGTATTTTCATTGTGTGGGAAACTTGTTGGACACTTCCCAGTGTGTGGATGGCTCAGGGTGGCAGTTGCATTAGTCGCTGCGCCTGGCAACCACAGCAACCAACGGATGGGATGATAACATCAAAGATCCCTCTCTGTCGCATACTAGCAGAGATGTTATAGAGTACGGGATCTGGATCCCGGGCCGGAGGAGACTGGTGCATGAGTGGTGACGAGATCACAGTCTGGGTGGATGCGAGTTCCGTGGCGACAGGAGTGGCATTGGAAATAAACGGAAATGTCATCAAGATGCGTGCTGGCTGCGTCCGACTAATGATGCCAGGCATATTAATTTGGCTGAACTCGATGCGGCGCTTAAAGGAGTGAATCGAGCTCTCCAGTGGGAGGCGACAATGTTGCACTTGGTTACTGATTCGGCGTGTGTGCACCGGTGGATTTCCGACACCTTGACCGGGAAGGCATGGGTGAACACAAGGGCGGCTGGTGAGATGCTGGTCAGGCGACGGCTGGGCATTTTTGCGATCGCTGGTGGAAGAATATGGATTGACCATAGACGTGACACTCGTGCAGTCCTGTCAGAACCGTGCGGATCGCCTCACCAGAGTACCGCACAGGTGGCTAGAACTGCTCAAGAGAGGAGAACCGCCACTCGAGAGCTGTGCAGTGGCAGGGAGACGACTGGATGAGGTCCAGGTTGCCAATACGCATCGTCAATGCGGACATCCGGGCGTGAAACGAACTCTGTACTTCGCCAGGTTAGTCGACCTGCAGGTGTTCAGAGAAAGCGTTAAATTTGTTGTGAAGGCCTGCACAACCTGTCAGTCGATCGATCCGGCACTCGTTCACTGGGAAAGAGGAGAACTGAGCGTGAAGAGCAACTGGAGCAGACTGGCAATGGACATAACTCACTACAATGGTGAGAATTTTTTAACACTCATTGATTGCGGTCCCTCCAGGTTTGCGGTATGGCGGCCGCTGCACAGACAAGATGCGAACACCGTCGTTCGACTGTTGGAGAATGTTTTCCTGGAGCGAGGCCCACCCGTGGAAATACTGACGGATAACGATACTGCATTCACCAGTAAAGATTTTAAAGAATTTGCGGACAATTGGGACGTACATCTGCGGTTTCGATGTGCCTACTCGCCAAGTGGAAACGGCATCGTGGAGCGGAACCACAGAACCATCAAGATCATCGCAGCCAGGAAGGGCTGTACAGTATCGGAGGCGGTTTACTGGTATAATGTCGCCCCGAAAGATAACATTTCACCATCCACGGCGCCGGCTGATGCACTGCACAAATATCATGTCCGTGTGAAAGGCATCGAAGCCAACCCGCTGCCTGAACTAGAAGTGACTGGAGGGAGATTGAAAAAAGGAGATGTTGTTTGGGTCAAAAACCCATGCGGCAAGTGTACGACAAAGTACGGCACTGAACGTGTTACGGAGGTGATCAGCCCGCAATCTGTGAGAGTTGATGGAGTGCCTCGTCACATTAAAGACTTGCGACTGTCGATGCAATCACTACCGCTACTGAGCGATGAAAGCGATTCAGAGTCTGGGAGTAGTGAGCGTTCAATCTGCCTTGCGTTAGACCTGCAGGGCAGTGATTCTGATAACAGCAGCCTCCCGGCGGATACAGTGTTTACCGACACTCAAACCACAGACGAGAACACACACGAGGATGAAGTTGTTTATCCCCCTTCGGAGGGGGACTCGACGGCGACGATCACCACCTCCCTGCCCTGTTTGTGATCATGAGATCAGGGGAGTGGGAAAATTGTGAAAAATGGCTTACCTCAGAAACGCTGTTCGAATCTGCGATGTGCAAACTCTGGTCCTTCCAGCAACAAAAGAAACCAAAATGGCGGCGCCCACGTTTTATGCTGGGCGGTCTCGGTTAGTTAATGCGAAATCTCGTTGTCTCGTCATTCACATGCAAATTGTGGTCAGTCCGCGGCTGTATAAAGCAAGCTCGTTTTGCTGTTTCAGAACACAGAGCTTTTGGCTCGTGAGAAGGTTGGACGTGTGACACCGGTTTTCTTTGTGCCTACCTGCTATCATCTGTTGAATTGTTGCGTTACACACCACAGATACTCACCTTTAAATTTAAAATTTTGGCATTCAGTATATCTCCATGACTATCCTAGCTGACTTTATTCAACTCTCTATCACTTTTCTTTTTCTTTTTTCCCTATTGTTTGTAAATATCCCTCAATGTAATAACAGTAGTTTTGTTAGGAAAAGAAATATGTTGTATTATCCTGGACATAAATTTACTGTGGAAGTTTCCAAAATTAATGTACTTCCATTACATTTTTACTTTAATAAATTACTTCCCCTTTTAATTAAAATATTTCCTTTAAATCAAAATGGTCAGCCCTATTACAATGTATGATTGAGCGATATTGTTTTGTAAAAGATCTGTTTTTTGTTCATATAATCTTTTATTTAAATTCCTAGATGTCACACTATCTTCGTTCGTATATTCTCTCTCTCTCCGTATATCCTCTCACTATCCAACTACTCTGACTGACTGTGGGTATTTAACGGCAGCACTCCGAGTAACACTGGTAGAGTCCATTTATATGAAAAGGGGAGGACCCCATAACACTAACAATATAAAATATTAAAATTGATCCACAAAAGAGAGGTCAATATATTTATTATAGAGCATATAAATGAATTACATAAAAATTAAACTCAATTGTACCCCATTTATATGGACATTTTGCTCTTCGAGAGATTTCTTAAATGCCAAAATGGCTAGGATAGTCATGGGGATATACTGAATGCCAAAATTTTAAATTTAAAGGTGAGTATCCTTGTATCTTCTGTATTTCTTGGTGTAAAATTGTGACTGACTGTTGTATTTCTTATATATATATATATATATATATATATATATATATATATATATATATATATATATATATACACACACACACACACACACACAACCTTTTGGAAACAGATTCTTCACACCAAAACAATGGCCATATAAATGTGGTACAATTGAGTTTAATTTTTATGTACAGTGTAACCCGGATATAAGAGAGATTTTCTCTGGTCCCAAATTAGAGCCTGTGTTAATGTAAACAAAATAGACCAAACCTGGATATAAGAGACTTCTTCTCCAGTCCCGACAACTCTCTTATATCCGGGTTACACTGTAATATATATTCAAGCATGTTTGGTTGAATAATCTAGACGTGACTATTTTTATTTTAATCCTCTCAAGTTCACAGTTCAATTTCTTAGTGTTGGTACAAAACTGATTAAGAAAGAAACCATAATTATTCTTATAGTTTTTATTTTCCCAAGTACTTTCAATCTCATCTAAGATCATTTTCAGGGGTGAACATTTGCACTCTGAATATAAAAGTGAATGTCCTAACTTACAAAATAGATATTATATGAAATTTAATAAAGCTAATTCTTCAATGAAACAGATTTTCTAAACTGAATTAAAAAACATTAAACAAATTCTCATTAATAATGACATTCCTAATTACATTGTTGATGAACAAATTAGACAAGATATCATAAATATTAACATAAATCAAAAAGAATATAATACATCTTCAAATGACTTTAAACATATCAACCTACTATGCCACAATCAAATACATCCTAACTACAAAAAAGATGAAAAAATCTTAAAAAACTCCTAAGTACTAATTTTTTTTTAAGTACTCTTTTTTTACTGATCCCAGTAAAAAAATAAAACTAATTATATACTACACTAAATTTAATACAACCAGCTTAATTATCTGCAATAATTCTTCTCCTTCAACTAGCATTTTGCAAAAGACCAACATCATATATCAATTTAAATGTTCTTTTGGAGATTGTATCTCTGACAAAAATGTAAATATATATATTGGTTTTATGACTATGACTTTGTTAAAGAGACTTACATTTTATATGAATGATTATAGTTCAATTTCACAACATTAAAATGAACATTTCTGTCCACCTTCACAATTTAGAGAAATATTAATCGACAATACAATTATACTCTACCATGAAAAAAAAAGAATTTCAAATTCTGGAAGCCCTTTAGATATAAAAATTATGGCCAAAAATAAATAAAATCAATTATGAGTGCAGTAACAAAATTCCAAAGTTTTTTAACAGCTTTATAACAGATTTCAAAATATATATATTGGAATTGTTAAAACTACAATTAAAACAGTTTTTTAAAACAATTACTATTTTTAACAAAAATTTACATAAATTAAGTTACCTCCCTTACATTGTGGTAATTTTTTTGTATTTTACAGCGTCCATGCTCACATATATTCATAACTTACATTAATTCTTTATCTTAGCAATTCACCCCTGAAGATGATCTTCTCTGAAGAAGAATGTAGTAAAAAGTTCGATATTTTTATGAATAGATTTTTTACAATATTTCACCTTTTTTAGCCAATATTACTGAATCTATATTTTAGTAATGCCCTCTCTGAGTAAGACCTAACAAGTACATTTATGTTATCTTGTTATAAAACAGTTCCTTGTTGGCATTTGACCCTAGCCTTAAATTCATCTCTCTAGAACTATTAACATGTGTCCAATATTATTCTATACAAGAATTTTCTCTTTGTTTTTCCTGATATTTTATTCATATTTATTATTATAAAATGAAGAAAATATTGAAGTATTTGCTTATTAACTTTAGTATAATGAAAAAGATATTTAATCAAAATATTCTTTATTGTATCTTCCATATCTGAAAATACAAGAAAGAGGACATACTATTTCTTTTTATAAATTCAGAAACACTTGTCTTTTCTCTATTTAGTCTATTAAATGCAAATTCCTTCACACATAAAAAAAATATTGTCACTGAATACAATTTTTTTTTCAGGCTTTCAAAATTGCAATGCAGAAGATGAAACAGTATGAGCTTTCACATAAGATTGAAACTATAGAAGAATTACAGTCAAGAATTTCTCCCTATTTTTCTCATGAAGAATGCTTTGCACATGCAAGCAAATATTTGCAGTGGAGTATTAATAGTGTAAGTTTCTTATTCTGTTTCAGTAGTTTTATCTTAAGACATTATTTAGTGGTGGGAAAAAATGAATGTGAGCCAAATTTGTTATTTTTAAAAACTTTAATTCCTTGATAATCAATGTTAAATCTTCTAAATGTAAGTGAATTTGATAAAATTTTGAAAAAATCTAAAACTAATACTTTATTTCAGTAGAGTTTTCATATGTATATATATATATATATAGAGAGAGAGAGATAATTATTTATTCGAAAATTATAACATAAATATGTTATAAAATCACTACAAAAATAGCCATTTTCTCTCAACACTTCTGGTGTCTTATCAAGTGACAATGTTGAATGTAGAATAAAGGGTTTTTATATATATATATATATATATATAGAGAGAGAGAGAGAGAGAGAGCTAATCCAGTCATTCCTATCAAATCGTGAAATGAAAGTTATCTTGAACAGCACTCATCTACATCGTTTTGTACTAATGCTGGTGTTCCCCAGGGCTCCATCCTATGCGCTTTTTAATCTTCATTACCAACCTTGCCGATGACATCAGCTATCAACTTGGCATCTACATTGATGACACTAACATTTACTCTTGCCTCAATAGTAAGGCTGATCAGTCAAAGTCAAAATAGCAGCCAATGTACAAAACAACCTCAAGACTGTTGTTAAATGGGGGAAATGATGACTTGTCAATTTTAATGCCTCTAAAACTAAACCTCTCTCCACTAATCATCTGAGAGACCCCTCTCTGCCTTCCATCAGCATGACTGATGATAACCTACAGGAAAGTGACTCATTGCTCCTTCTTGAGCTAACACTCTCAGCTGACATGAAGTGGAAAGACTACATTGAATCCATTGCTAAGAAAGTTGGCTCACTGTCGGGTGAGACAATTTTCTCGCCAGAATCTATTTTCCATATCTCTAAGTCTACCATTTTCTCATGCTTAAAATATTATCCTATGTGGTCTGGTGCCCCAGCTATTTTCCAGGAAGGCAACTTAATGGTGGTGGGCAAATAACTGAAGGCAAGCTGCCAGATCAGGATCAATAATATTGCTGATTCTTCTTTAGATCTTATCAAGGAGCTATGGATACATTTTTTGTGTGTGTGTGTGTACTTTTTATGAATAGATGTGTATGAGTACATTTATCTGAGTGCATGTATTTACATTTTTGTTTGAATAGAGTAGTTGACATGTTAATATGTAGATAGATATTGTAAATAAATATTTGTATGTATTTAGATATGTGGATATATTATTGATATATATATGTACATTTGTATTATATTTGAAACTACATATTAGATGTTTATGTGTATTTATATGTAAGTGTGTGTGTGTGTGTGTATATATATATATATATATATATATATAATTTTATTATTCCACCCACCCACTAAATAAATGAACTGCTCCATTATCATTGCAGTATGTTATAAGTATTAAATTATGCAATGGTCAGTTTTCAATCTCAGCACCTGACAATTGCATCCTGCTAGAAAATCAGCTGTGCTACCAGTAGGGGAAAAATTTATATTTATTATATATATATATATATATATATATATATATATTATATATATTTATAAAACGCAGATTGTGTGTGTGTGTGTGTGTGTGTGTCTGTAACGTTTATATATTGGATTGATTTCCACATTTTTTAAACGATTTCAACAAAACTTCACAGGACTACATAAAATTACCTTGTGGTGGTTCTAACGGCACCGAATGGGAAAAACACAATTGTTTTTTAAGAAAATCAATTTGAAAACACGATTAAGACACATCATGAGAATGAAAGGGGGACAACTCAGATCGGGTTAAAAAAAAACAGGTTGTTTGTGTGTGTGTGTTCCTTTATATATGGGATCGGATTTCTTACATTTTTCAGCCGATAAAACAAACATCCACTTTCTTTTTTGGCAGGTAGTGTTTCTTATTGTCTTGCACACTTTTTTCTTTATTTATACATTCAGAATGCTTTAAAAATTCCATTTACAAGACAATTGTTTATAATAAAATTCTAATTCTATTCAATCGGGGGACTCATCATAACGATGTTTTTGTTTGAGTTTGGGTTTGACCAATTCGTAAAAAAAAAAAAAACTAAGACATGCGTGTCCGTCAACCTAAACAATAATCTAACAATCTCTACTGATTGTACGAATCGAAAAATCGGATAATTCTTTATCTTTAGGGAAAGATAATTCCACGTACTTCAGGGCCGTTTTTACAATTCCCTTTGCAATTTGTTACAAGGCAGATCAATAAGGCATTGGTTCTATTTGAAAATTCAATATTTAAAAGAAAGTATTAAGAAATAATTTAAAAATGCCGATGTAAGAAATCTGATAGACAAAAAACAACAATATTTTGAAGATGATAATTATTAAGGAAAGGACACAGTACTTGTAATAAATTAATAAACCCAAATAAAGTTAATATTTTTTGTATTAGAAACAACGAGTGGAAAATATATTCAAATCAGAATTCTAATTATGAATCACCACAAGCAAAATATGCAATTTTTTTTACTGTATTCAATAAGTAAAAATCATAAATTGTAAAAGATTACAGAGAAAGGCTACCTACATTTTTCAACTGATTTCAACAAAACTTCACTTTTTTTTTTGGCATGTAGTGTTTTTTATTGTCTTGCACATTTTTTTCTTTATTTTTACATTCAGAATGCTTTAAAAATTCCATTTACAAGACAATTGTTTATAATAAAATTCTATTCATCTATTCATCAATCGATAGACTCATAACGATTGTAAACAATGTTTTTGTTTGAGTTTGGGTTTGACCAATTCGTAAAAAAAAAAACAAAAAAAAAACACTAATTAAGACATGCGTGTCCGTCAACCTTAAACAATAATCTAACTATCTGTACTGATTGTACGAATACAAACATCAGATAAATTCTTTATCTTTAGGGAAAGATAATGAAATCTAAACATACATGTCCTAACTAAAAATAATAACCGGAACGGGAAACTACTTTAAATACACATGGTGTCCAATTTTTTACTGTATTCAATAAGTAAAAATCATAAATTGTAAAAAGATTATTATTACAGAAAGGCTACTAAATGAATAAGATTTGTTAGATCATAATTAATAAACCCAAATAAAGTTAATATTTTTTGTATTAGAAACAACGAGTGGAAAATATATTCAAATCAGAATTCTAATTATGAATCACCACAAGCAAAATATGCAATATTTTTACTGTATTCAATAAGTAAAAATCATAAATTGTAAAACTAAAAGATTACAGAAAGGCTACCTACATTTTTTAACCGATTTCAACAAAACTTCACTTTTTTTTTTGGCATGTAGTGTTTCTTATTGTCTTGCACACTTTTTTCTTTATTTTTACATTTAGAATGCTTTAAAAATTCCATTTACAAGACAAATGTTTATATTAAAATTCTATTCATCAATCGATAGACTCATAATGATTGAAAACAATGTTTTTGTTTGGGTTTGACCAATTCGTAAAAAAAAAAAAAACACTAATTAAGACATGCGTGTCCGTCAACCTTAAACAATAATCTTTGTCAATTTTATTTTTCAGTCTTTATGATGGTCGATACTTGATCTATCTCTTACTGTTATATCTCCGGCAAACGCCGGCTCTACTATAGTATATATATATATGTAACTATAACAACAAAAACATTTAGATTTCATTTTTTGCCTTAAAAAAAGGAAGACCAAAACGCGTCGGCAAAATGTAAGATTTTTTTTCCAATTGTCATTTGATACCAATCTGTCTTGTCCACAGAATTCATCTGGGAATTTAACTATATATATATATATATATATATATATATATATATATATATATATATATATATAGGATTTCCTTGATTTCAAGTGTGACCTTTTTTTTCAACTTGGAGATTATAGTGATAGACACTTGTGCAACATGAATACCACTAACTTTGTTGAGTAACACCAACCTTACAGATAATCTGGCCTTCTTTTTTCCTCCTCAGTTGGGACCATTGTATCATTTCAATAGGATTGATTCCAGTTTCTCATGATATTGGGATTGACAGTAAAGTCTAGTATGGACCCCTCTATGTAAGTTGTGTATCATAGTTAAGAATGAATAATTCTCAAGTTACACTCAAGGTAACTTTTATCTCTTTGCATCCGAGGATCACTTTGGGAATCAGGATTGGATTAAAAACTCCTTCAGTAAAATGCACAACACTGTTGATAACTTTAACAACAGGTTTATTAAATATAAAATAAAAAATAAACTGGTGAATAAAATGTCTCTTTTATTTACTGCAAAATTAAGTTCTCTACTTGCCAGATGGTGATTTCAGAAATCTAGTAAACAAACACTAAGTTGAGTCTCACTCAATTCTTCTGTTGTGCATGTGTCTGTGTTTTAGGTTTATTAATAACTAAATGACCTTTACTTTGTCTTTAGAATTTTATGTCCTTTGTTTCTGTAAAGGTAATGATGTTTTGGGGTGGACAGCATCAACATAAACAAATTCCAAGATTGGGAATTAAACAAAATCCAGATGCATTCATGGTTTAAAAGAATTTGGGTCATTCTTTTCTGTAGGCATATATGCATGTCAGATGTGTTACAAGATGAGATCTTGCCCTGCTTCGATAAACAGAAGTTACCATCACGAGTCCCCGACTCGAAATGAAAACTGCACGTGTACGCATAGGCTCAACGCAGATACTTCCGTTTGGGATAAACTCGAAAAAAAAAATGAAAAGAATTAAATCAACCAATCGGACCATCTCCCGCGTATTCAAAAAATTGCCATTTAGAGCCAATAGGCGTGTATAAGAACACGGGAAAGCCAAAAGGAGTGCCACTCAACGGCGGAGGCAGAAGGGCCACGTCGCTCGCTCCTGACACACTGGCCCGGCGACGAAATGAAGCATGTGACTGCTGCTGCTATTGAACTCTCGTCCGACGCCTTGTCAAAGGGTACCTTTCCCTCAACTTCTTAAATACGAACTTTTACTTGTTCTTATGTTCCTCACTAAAAGAGATTATAAAATATATCTACAGTCTTTCTTGTTCTTTCGATTCTGAATTCCATTGTTTGCAACCAAACGCAGTATTTCGCCCACATTGATTTCACATCGCCCACGTAACTAAATACGGAATATAACAGATGGATAGTATGATGTAAACAAAACCCCATGCCTGGGAATTAAACAAAAAAAAGATGCCTTTGTCTAGAAGAATTTGTGTCACTCTTTTCTGTAAGAAGACATGTTTTGAACAGAAATGTAAAAAAAAAAAAAATTTCTCAAGAACAAAAATATTTAGACAACACATTAATCACGTCTTATTAGCAGGAAATGGATAGGTGACAAACCTTGGTTTTTCTCAATCTTATTGTATCTTGGCTAGTTAATTCTGGGTTTGATTCTCCTTGGAATCATTCTTAAATTCATTTTGCTTTAAAACATAATTTTTTTTAACCCATTTCTTTTTGTTTTCTTAACCCATTTCTTTTTGTTTTCTTAACCATTCAACCTACTCTCTTCAGAATTTTAATAATTATCATCCAATTAGTACTCACTCCAAATCATCCTGCAATTACATGCAATTAAACGTTTAAACAGGGTCAGTGCCCTGTTACACATCTTGCTATTAAAGCTAAATTCTACAGACTCTGTTGCAAACTCTATAAACTCAGTGAAGACAGCTAGATCTCTACATATATAGCAGAAGCACCAGACCAGATGTTACATCAATACTCAGTGCATAGATAAATGGTAGACATATGTAAGATAGATTCCAGCTAGAAAAATTGTCTAGCATGACACAGTGAACCAACTTTCCTAGCAGCAGACCTAGCAATTAATTCAGTATAATCTTCCCACTTTGTGTCACTCTCCTGGTGGTTAGCACTAGCCATTTCTGATGGAAGGCGAATCAAAAAAAGATTTTATATATAGTAAACAGGATAATATGAATCCTCTTAATTATAAATCATTTGAATTTTTGGAAATAGACAAAAGTCAACAAATGAAGAGCAAAAAGTCAGCAAGACCATGAATGACAGAACATGATTTTTTTAAGAAGTGAAATCCTCAATCTTCACTGTGCTGTTTATTAAACTTAGGAAATTTAACCACCAAAATTGCCACTCAAATTTGTTGAAACACTTAGCATAACATTTAAGAGGTTTTTCTCTTTAATATTCTTCAAATAAATGTCAATTTTAATTTGGTAACAACTAAAAGATTTGTTATAGTTTTTATTATAGAAATCGTGTTAATTGTATGTAATAAAAAATACGAGATGGTATAAATCCAAATTCACATTAAAATGCATCTTAGTGAAATAATTTCTTTTAAATCACATACTTGGTTGAAGATTCAGTTTATATAATAATTAAAAGTATTTATTTTAATAATTTCTAATGTGACAATATGAAGGTGACAATTTATGTATTAATGATGGAAATATTTGATTGATTTTTGTTATTGTTTCAGATTATTGAAAAGGAACTGATTAGAAACATCACATTGGCCTTTGCATCTGTCTTGATCATCACACTGATTTTAATTACAAATGTTCGTACTTCATTAATGGTTGGATCCAGTGTTATTCTCACCATGGTTAGTAACCTGCTTGGACTTGTAAAACATTCACATTTCACTTGACAAAATTGACACACTAATCCTGTTTCTCTTGACTGATGTATTCAGCTTGACTTTTTGGATCATGAGTTCTTAATAAGTAATTTTATGGTTGTATATAGATGTTCTTTACTTAGTCTTTTGAAAACTACTCATGACTAAATGCCAAGTTTTAAATTTAATACAGAATCATGAATGAAGTGATTTAATTTTTTCTTTTTTTTTTATTTCAATTGCTAAATTCTCAAAACAGTCATGGACACCAAATATTTTAGTCTAGCATTTGTAAAATTCTTGCTATTTACATGGCTAACACAAAACAAAGACACATTGCTCTGAAATATGTTTACATAACTAATTTTGAGATAATAGTTATAACTGGCTTAGTCTTTAATGTAACAGTTCAGATCTTTTTTTATTTCAAATCATTTGTGCTTCATTAGTGAATAAATGATTGATATTCACTTTGAATAAGCCATAAGATAATTTGTAAGCAACACCCAAATATTCAGAAAGTAAAATGAATCACACTTTATTTATCAATATCACTTTAGAAGTTAGAAATTTTTTATTATAGGAGAGAAATATATGAGAGGACATTGAAAAGTACTTGGCCAAGACAGGATTCCAAGATTCCAAAACAAATACTGATTTTTGTTCATTTGGTCAAGTTTTGAGAAGTTGATCAGGCTGAAAAGTGTTAAGCATTTACCCTCAAAATTTTGTTACAACAGATTTCTTAATAAAATTTATTTATCATCATCATGGCTTGACTTTGTGAACAAAGTGAATCTTTATTAATGTTGACTTTTATGCCACTTGGGTTTTTCGGTGAGTTTTCATTTGTTTTTGTTCAGAATATACACTCAAGCAATTTAGTAAGCAGCAACTAGAAATGAAATCTACAAGCAGACTAACCAATCAAATAAAGATTGATTCTGATGTGATTAAAAAACAAGGTGACTTGTTTCACTATGATTTCTGTTCTTCAGGTTCTTTGTTTATAAATTCTCTGAATCAAGTGTTGAAGCAATAACTTTAGTAAATTGAAGATCATCTCTAAAGATGCTAAATAAAATTAATTCATGACATTTTTTATATGAATTCATAAAATTTATGAAGAATTAAAAACGTTTATAACATAAACTTTTAGTTTCTACCCAAATCCTTTTTCTGCTGCTTTTCAAACTCTACTTGTTTTTTTACATTCTATCTAAGTTTTCTCCTTGTTTTATTTGCAGTTAAACATTACTGGTAGTTTATATTTGTGGGGGATTAATATTGAAACAACATCATGTGTAATTCTCACTATTTCTGTTGGCCTGGTTGTTGATTATTCCGTCCACATTGGTCATACTTTCATGACAGTTGCTGGCGAGAAGAATCGTAAGTAGAATTTAAAAACTCATATTTATTTCTAAAAGAAAATATTTTTATAGGCTTTATTTGCTGACAAACTTGGTAAATTTCTACATCACTTTTTCTTGACAGGCAGTGAAATCATTGAAAGCTAACAAAAATCTGATGAAATAAAGATAGACTTTTTATTAACCAATTAAAATTTTTGCTAAATGTTATTAACGAAAACCAAGTTCTATTGGATTTCAAATTTGAAAACATTTTTTATCTTGATGAAAGAAACTAAAATTATGAATACAGTAATATAACTAGAAAGGAAATTAATGAAGTTAAACAACTGGTGTTAAGAAAATAGGCACTCAGAATCACACAGTCAATTAGATTAACAGGAAACCGTGAGGAAACTGAGAGAATCTCTAAAGTATATTCTTCGTATAAGTGGTGGATGATCAAAACTGAATTACATACTGAGAAAGAATATTACATAATAATAACTGGAAGTAACACTCCTCTCAAAATCACTACCGTGGTGGTTTTCTCATCATCTAATGACTTGATTTGTTCTATGATTTGTCTAGAAAGATTTTAAACACATTTTGCTGTTATGTGCACTGTTTAGATTTTCAAAGTGAAGCATTAAAAAAATGAAGCACAATACAAATTTTATTTGTTTTCTACGAATCTACAGAGAACAGAATTTGACAAATGTTGGTTTTTGTTTATTCTTTTCCCCAATTTTCTTACTTAACCAATCTTCAGTCTTATTTATATCATAAAAAAAAATAATTGGAATTAATGGATGCTCTTTGAATGAGAATTCTAAACTTATAATCATTTTATTTCTATAAATCAATATAAGAAATCTACATTTCTTATGGATGAATGCCAAAGTAGGTATTAATTATTTGTAGATTGCTCAGTGCCCTAACATAATGCTCCTCTTAACTAAAAGTAACATTGTTAACTGATGGTGATTCCCTGAGGGTTCACTTGAATTATGAAAATATTGACTTGTACATTATTTGATTATTCATATTATACAGGAAATACATTCAATTTCCATTTGGTGAGCCAGATGTCATTGGATTGTTAATAATTTATTCCAGGTTTAATCACTTTGAATTAACTTTTACGTGTTCATTTTCTATAATAAACTGTCTTTATATGAACCTATATAAGTTTATGAGAAATAATCTAGTGATACAAAAAATGTTAATGATTTTTTTTTTCTAAATAACAAGTGATTATAGAAGCAGTTGTCTAAATCATTATCACTTGTATAAATGTAATCAGTTTCTTTGCTGTCAGCTGTTAGCATTAACAGAAACTGTAAATGAATGATTAAATTGCTAGAAGAAAGGAAAATACTGTACAACATTATTTTCATTAAGTAATAATTATTAGGCTTTAGACTTTATTTTAATTCATGCACTATTTGTTCTTTTTATTTCAACTTTAAATTTTGCTATGAAAATATTTAAATAAAATCCAGAGATTGTTACTAAATTCTCATTAAGTGCAACATTCAACATTTCAGATTAAGTTCCTCAATTTTAAAACTATCTTTATTTGTTTAGATTTTAAAAAAAAAAAAAAAAAAAAAAGGGATATTTGGTATTTGTTTCTTATTGATTGATTTAAGATAAATTTTTCTTTCTTTTTAGATCGAATGATAGTCACAGTAAAAGAAATTGGTCCTCCTGTGTTCCATGGTGGATTCAGCACTTTTATTGCTGTTCTTCCATTGTCTATCAGCATCACTTATCCTTTCCAGACCTTCTTTAAAGTGAGTCTAGTTGCAAATGTTTCCTTTACTTATATTTAGATCTCTAACCAAGATACAATTAAACATAGAAGAAACAACCAAGTAAATAGTCTTTCTCTTCATTTGAATCATTTCTTTTGTTAATATAAACCAGAACTGCAGGAATACAGCACCAGAATGAACAAAGTATTTGATCTCTTCAATTTTGTTTAGCATTAACTATTTATTACATTTGCAAGCAATCTTTTACATTATTACTTTCAGAGCAAATTGATCCTTATTATACACAATACAAACCTGAACAGTTGAACTAAAACAGAACAAAGTATCATTAGACATAGTTTAAGCATAAAATGGTTCTCATTAGATATAAGAAATGTATACTACTTATGTGCAATAAACACCATTCTCTATAAAAATTAAAATGAAAATTATTTTTAATAATGGCAGACAAATTTAAATTTTTATACAATCACAGCTAAGAGGTTTTATAAAAAATAAATACTTCTTGGTGCATAGAAAATAAGGGACAATAAATTCAACAGTTTTGAAAAAAACAACTTGAGATGCAGCAATCATGGGCTTACAGCCATGTCACATTGAAACACTGGTACTTGTACAATCACCAAAAGTTAAGGAATGTCAAACCTGATCAGTACCTAGATCAATGACCATTTGAGAATATCAGGTGCTGTAAGCTTGGATATGTAGATGCTGTAAGGAAATGACTCCAAATTGGAGAGCCAAGTTCCAATTCCAGGTGGATTTGTTATATTCACATGTGCAAATAGTCTTGGGAAATGTATGAATGCCCTTCTTCTCCCCCAACTATGGGTTAATTAGTAGGACTTATGTCAAATAAATCATTAGTATTTCCAAAAAATTCTTACAATCTAAAAATATTTTCTGGCTTTAAATAACCTACAAAAAACAAATCATTAACACACCTAAAACTGTTTATGTGAACAAACTTGGGAAAGACTTAAGCCAATCATGACATTATTTTCTAACAATTACATTAAAATTTTTATAATTTACAAAAATAAATTTTTAACATCATCAGTTTTCACTTGATTCATATGTGCATGAATTATAATTGAAAAAGAATTTGTAATCAGTGTTTTTTTTTCCTCTCATCATTTGCAGATCTTTTTCCTTGTCGTCCTTTTTGGTCTCTTTCATGGTCTTGTCTATCTGCCTGTATTGTTGAGTCTTGCTGGTCCTACATGCTATCCTACAGCCTCAGAAAGAGAAATAACAGCGCCATCACTGAAGAAGAAGAAAGAAGAGAATCCAAAGCAAGGCATAACCAATAATGGAATGGTCCTTGAAGCAGAGGCAAGAATTCTTGAATTGATAATAAATAATTAATCCTGTTGCTTTTATCAGTGTATTGGCATTTTCTGAATATTTTTTCAATGATAAAAGCATTTTGTTAAACTGTTCTTCATAAATAATTTCATAATTTTTTCTTTAAATGAATATTTTAAAGTTTTTAAAAATTTACTGAAAAATCAAAGCTTAATGTATTCAGAAAAAAAATTGCAGTTATTAGTTTTTTGTCAGTTTCTGTCAGAATTTTTTAAAAAAAAGTTCTCATTTATTAAATTAAAAGAAATGGTTAATGTGAATATAAGTGTTATGTTTGGTATATTGCTCTGTGTAGTAGTAGTCTTAGCACAGTTCTCCATGTTACATGTAGCAAACAGGTTTGTATAGTCCTTATGTTTACCAGTTGTTCTCTATTTATACTTGTCTATCTCATTTGCATAAGATATTACACCTCCCTGAATCAGAGAAGTTGTATACTCTTGTTTTTTCTTTTACTATTCCTGATTATTCTTGTACTTACTGTCCTTCTTCCTGTCTTTCTTCTTTTCTCTTCAACGGTGATCTCGGTCTCTCTTCATTTTCTTCTTCACTCTCATCCGTCTTTCCATTCCATTGTAGAAGTCAAATGACTTACCTGTTATCATGGCTACTTTCTTGGGGCTCCTAGGAATATTTATTGTGAAAATTACACAATTGTGGCACATGACCTAAAAAAAGGGTCTCAACCTGGATCATAACCAAAGATGTGGCCAGGGACAGGCCAGGAACAACACTTACTCACATTAACTAGGTACACAAAGCTTGTCTAACCTAACCAAAGGGAGGGCTCCACAGGAAGCTGCCCCGATGTGACATAGGTAGACCTAAAAGAGAAAATCAAGGCTAGCCCTGTTCACACAAACCAAGCTCGCCTCAGTCACCCACCTTTCACTAAAGACTGTCAAATGCAAGCATTTTCTATCAATTCTGATCTTCATCTTGAGCTGATGCACAAAGAATTGGATCAGATCCTGATGAGAAAGATGGTTACCTCGCAAGACTTCCTCCTGTCATGTCATCCATCACCATTTGGGCCGTGGCCAGCAGTGTCAGAAACACCATTCATTTCACCTCAGAATACGGGGGTGACACATAGTCAAACGCATATGTGTGATCCATGAGCCCAAGCTTTTCAGGAGCGAGATGAGCCATCAACTCGCTGACATGGTCCCATAAGGGGTGGACCCGGGGACAATGATAGAAGGCGTGCGAAGCCGTTTCTTCTAAACCAAGGTCACACCATTCACACTCTGACAACAGCCAATCCCGAGCCAATCGCCAGGTAAGTGAAATCTCAGAGTTACTGAGATAATCCGTCGCTGGCGCCCAAGACCAAAAAGAGCAAATATCCTTCTCTGACAAGCCGAACCGCTCACATAGAGGATCCTTCGCGACCCCCCCATCCACTAGATGACGATAGAAGACTTTCCTAGGCTGAGAAATGTCACTGGACCGAGGAACAGCCAACAAGGCCGACTGACACTCACGAAGGAAATCCGATTGATCCCGCGGTTTACGATGATGCTCACCCCATGAGATGGGGGGGACTGATAGTAAGGAAAGGGAACGCGTCCTTAAGAATCCCCGCCATAATCGAATCTCCTGTCAATGCACATTGTAGGAAAGCCAACCTTGAGGCTGGAGGTCAGGTCCAAACCACACTCCAAGAATGCAGACAGGTGATTGTTGCTGCTTCTGTACAGTGTCCTCCCTTTTGGGGGGGGAGGCATATTCTTCGATCTTTTACCCCCTCCCATCCCTTTCCAGACATCATCGGTGTCTTTTTGGGCTACTTCTTCTACTGGGGTGTTGTGATTGCTGCTGCTGCCGTTGTTGCTGGTATAGGCTGCGTTGTAGTCGGAGGACGTTCAGCTGGGCACTCCTTAGCCATGTGCCCCGATACGCTGCAGGACCAACAGTATGGTCTCCTGCCCTCTACAACTACTAACATCCTCCTTTCTCTGCATAGTAAAATATTGGGGATTTCTCCAAAGCTTGATCGGGTTAACGTGACCTGCAACTCAATGTCACACATTGCAATCTCTGATTTTCCTACTATTGCCTTCACCTCCTCAACCCTGCCAAACTTTGAGAAGAATACTCCCATCCTGTCTTCAGAGACATCTACGGGCACCCCATGGACTGTAATTCTTGTCTTACGGGTGCCCATATACTCAGTCTGTAACCTTAAAGTTTTGGTAGTTAAAATACTACCTGCCATTTGTTTGGCATCTTGCTTTGTTGGAAGAAGAATGTCTCATATATTTGTTCTTCTTGCCAGAACCTTTGGTGTGATTTTCAAGGTCTTCAGGACCTCTTCCATTGTTTCTCTGCTGACTCCAGTTAATTTATGGCTTTTTATGTCAGAAGTCAGCAGAGATACTATTCTCGTATTTACGGCCTTAAATGCCTCTTCAATAGTAAGGAATTCATTTTCCTTAAATGTATCCTTAAATTTGTTTCTCTGTTCAGCATAGTATTCAGCGTCCCTTTTCTTTCGTCTATCCTCACACCAGGCACTTTTTGCTGAGGACACCGGTGGTGTTTTGTCAGAAATACAGGAAAGGAATTAAACAAAAAGAGAACAGAACAAAATGTTCAAATATATGAACAAATAAACGGAAAAGAAAAACTGAAAAACTGAGAAAAGTGTTTTTAGAAAATAAAATTCAAAAACTTAACAGTTCGTTCGTCAATACACGTGTACTTATCCAATAAACTCTAAAACTTTCTGGGGGGGGGGTTCTTGTAATTATTTATTGCACTATGTACAAATGTGGCACAAGGCTGAAATGGGGAAAGGGGTAAGGATGGTCATCTTCTGTCTTAACTTTAAACTTAGCTAGCCGCAATCACTGACCCAAGCATACAAACAATGTTCCTTTCACCAAAACAACACATCCATTACATACCATTCTTCCTACATCCACCAAAATGCCTCAGAGACTCTATGAAGTTCTAACTAGTCCCTATATATACAAATCATTGTCTGTGGGGGGAGGGGAAATAAAATAACATCTAAAAACCCCCAATGAATATTTACAATGAATACAAATCTATATACAAGAAACTAAACAAAAATTTTGTTAGTAGTAAAACCCCCTACAGCCCTAACTGTGGCAGAGACATCAGTTAACTGGACGAAATCAATGCGGGACTTAAAAAATTATAAAACATTCGTACAATCCATGCACTCGTTACAAACACACACTCAATCAAACACAACAACAAATACGAAAGACAGACTCAAAATGAAAGGCGCCCCGCACCCACCAGAGAACTGATATCACTAATCACCTAACGATGGGAGGGATGGGGAATTAAACAAAAGAAGAAAAAATAGGGCCAGAAATAAAAGGGGCCAATGCACATACATACCCTAGCTAAGTTAACATTGGGGGGGGTGTAAAGGCAAGCCAGCTAATTCTACCTCATTAATAGGAGAGCACCTAATGCAGCAGGTGGGTTAGTCCACTTTGCTGGAATGGACCTGCCCAACATATTTGCATGAGTGGACTCTATTCACTCATATATCTCTTCATTAAATGACTCAGGAAAAATGCAACTTCAAGTGACTACACCAGTCTACTTGGATGTCAGAACACTTGCAAGTTAACCAATATTCTACAACTTTCATTTTCTGCTCTGCTCCACTTTTGTGACTGTCTTTCTCTTCTTGTTCTTGATCTTCCATTTCTACGTCATCCAATTTGTTTCTGCTTCTGAATTGATCTGCATGTTCCATTATATTTTGTCCCTTTTTCTCAAGTATAGCCATGTTGTGTCTTTTTGTATCAGGAAATTTGCTTCTTTTGGATCAGCCTCTTTATTCTTTCTATACCATACCTTTTCTTTCACTGAAAAGGACATAGTTATGGGGGCTCTGATTTGTCTTCCTATTAATGCTGAAGGGCTCAGTTTTCTTCCTGCATGTGGAATGGATCTGTACCTGAGAAGCATTTTTGGTAAATACACTTCTATGTTTTCATTAAGTGGTGGAAATGCTTTTAATCCCATTTTTACCATTTGTACCATTCTTTCTGCAATGCAATTAGATTGTGGGTGATATAGTGGTGTCTTGTATGGAATGCATCCAATCTGTTTTAACCATGCACATAAGTTTTCATCACAAAATTCAGGCGCATTGTCAGTGACTATTGTCTGGGGTACTCCATTCCTTGAGAATATGGTTCTTAGTACTTGCTTTATTGTGGTAGCTTTTCTGTCTTTTACTCTGACAACTTATGGACATCCTGAATATGAGTCCACTAATACTAAGAACAATCCCCTATGTTTGATATGCCTAACACATGGCTCTGCTTCCTTGGGCCATGAGTGAATTTTTGCTTGCTTGAAGTTTTTTTTTTATTAATGTATTCCTCTACATCTTTTGAATACCCTGGCCACCAGGCTTGTAACGTTAGTCTTTTTTGTGTTGCTGTTACATCACAATACACATCATCATGTACTCCTTTTAATATGTCCCTTCTTAGTGTTTGTGGAGCTACAATTATATCCCCATTGCATATTATGCCATTTTCTATGGTTAGTTTGTGCTTTGTTTCTTTAAAGGGTCGCTCTGCCATTGAACAATTGCTCCATAATATTTTTTATTCTCTCTACTATTCTGGTTAATATTGGGTCTTCCTTTGTTTCTATTTTGAGTCTATTTAGAAGAAGAACATCCGTTTCTACCCAGTGTATTATTTTATCTTCAGCATATTCTTGTTTTTTTTTTTGTTTCATTCTTGAACTGTAATCTTGATAAAGCATCTACATGAGGGATAGTGTTCCCTTTTACATATACTATGTCAAAATTGAATGCCATGGTCTTTATCACCCATCTTAAAATCCTTGACAATGTGACTTTTGGCAATTCTTTTCTCAGGTTAAATATGAATTCCAATGGTTTGTGGTCCAATTTTAATCAGAATTTTTTCCTATCAAAAAGTTTTGTGCCCTTTCCATGCTCCATACAATCACTAGTGCTTCTTTTTCAATATTTGAGTAGTTGATTTCTGCTGATGTTAACCTTCTTGATATGTACATGATTGGGTATTCTTCTTGTGATAGAATAGCAGCAATCACCTTTTCACTCACATCTGTATTTAACATTTTTGTAGATCAAAAACTTATTATTGGTTTGTTCCTCAGTATTTTCTTTAGTGTTTCAAATGTGGTAATTTGCTTTTGTGTCCAGTTAAATTCATTGATTTTTGCATAATTTTACAAATGGCTCTATTATGTCACTGTATCTTGGTATGTATTTACTATAAAAATTTATTAGCCCCCAAAAAGAATTCTAATTCTTTTTTATTCATTAGAACAGCTATTTCTGTTATTTTCTTTGTTAATCTATCATTGGGTGATATGCCTTCTTTTGATATTTGATATCCTAAATATGACATCATCTTACAGTCCAGTCATGCCTGTCTTTATTAATCTCACTAAAATTTACTCTGTTTTATATTTTAATTCTTCTTTAGTTCTTGCCCCTACACATATATCATCCTGGTATATTATTATATTTTACTTTTCCTAATAAGACTTTTTTAATTGCTTTTCGAAAAATATGGCTCAAAATCTTTCCCCCAAACGGTAGATGAGTCCATCTTAGTAAATCTATAAGGATGTTTATCATGGTGATTTCCTTGAATTTCTTGCCCAATTGCTACTACTTTGAATTACTCTTTCTAGTATGCCTTGGTGTATCATTTTGTTTAATTTGGCTACCACCAAAATTAGGATATGAACTGGAACTTTTCTTGACTCTATATATTTTGGGTGATAATTTTCTTTTAGTCAAATGCTTGCTTTATAGCCTTTCAATAATCCTATTTCATTTTCTTCTGCTTTCATGGAATTGATTAGTCTTGCTGTATCCACTTTTAATACATCAATTCCTAGTAACCTGTGATCTTTTTTGCATTCTACAACTGTAATGGAAATTAGTTTAAAACGCTTGTCAGTTTCAAAATTGCCTTGAAATGTACCCATTATTTTTACAGTTGTTCCGTCAAATTACTTTAATTGGATGTTGCTTGTTTTTAGTTTAGGTTGTCCTAATTGCCCTAATTGTATCTTTTTGTTATCAATGTGACTTCACTGCCTGTATCAACTTGCATATTGAATATTTGGCCATTTATCCTTATTTTTTCTCTACTTCTTTTTTGTGTATTCATTGTAAATATTTTCACTTCTTCTTTGGAGGGGGTTTGTACCTTTTGTACTCTTTCTATTTTCTTTTTGTATTTGCATACATTCTGAAAATGATCTCTTTTTTGCAATTTGAGCATATTTTCCCTAGAGCTGGACATTTGTACTTTTCTCTCTTGTGATTTTTCTCACAATATCTATATTTAATTATGGATTTGGTCATGTTTATCCTGTATGTCTTGAATTCTTTTCGTTGATTAAATTCTCTAATCAACTCTATTGTAAAAAATTGATGATAGCTTCCACACTCATGCTATTACTCTGTAGACATTCCAGTATTTTTCATTTGTCGTTTTGGTCTTGCTAGCCTTCAATTATTCTGAGAAGGATTAATTCGTCTTCTGTAGTCATTTCCCGAGCTCCCAACTTTTCAAATTCACAATACTTTGTTCATTCTTTCAATCTATGTAAGTATTGTATAATGGACTCATTGGGTGCTTGTCTTTTCTCTAAAAACTTGATTCTTTCAGCAACGACCAATCTTTTCTTTGGTCTTATGTTCATTTTTATAATTTTAAGAATTTCTTCAAATATCATATCTTCAAATTCACTTGGGTAACACATTGTCGAAATTTTCTTCACAGCTTTGCACCCAGTGATAGCAAGAAATAAATCTGTTATCTCGTTCTCTCCTCCATCAGTCTTTGTGTCTCTTAATTTTTTCACTCTTGCAAATGCAGCCAATGTTCTTATCCATGTTTCTATGTGTTCTGGGTTATCCAGCGAATTTAAGGATCCTATCATCAATGGTATTGGTATATCTCTCTGTGTAGTAGCAGTCTTAGCACAGTTCTCTGCGTTACATGTAGCAAATGGGTTTGTTAAGCATAGTCTTTATGTTTACCAGTTGTTCTCTATTTATACTTGTCTATCTCATTTGCATAAGATACTACAATAAGTATAATGAAATTTATTTCAAATGCAACACTCACCAAGTAAATGAATTTAAATGTTAAGATCTTTTGAAACAGCATCTCTACAATTGCAGGAATAGTGCACTTTTTGTTATTTTCTAATTGTTACTTTTTACCCTCTCTCATGCTCATTAATCCTTGTGGATTCTGATCTGTACTTCAATTTCTGAGATAGAAATTTCTCTAAATTATTGGTAAAGTGATATTTAGATATTTAACATTTTTCAATTGGTCCATTTGCCAGTATGCAGTATTTTGATTAATAATCAGCTTTCTGCAAAATTAGAAGTAGTTTAAAAAGATACAATGGCGCATACACGCGCACACACACACACACAAACACACCTTGTTTAACATTATGCCTTTATAAAACTGTTTGCAAAACATGATGCAGCAATAATTCTTTATAGGACAAAATCATTGAGACTGGGTCTAAAAGAGTAAACCAGTTCAAAGAATCATCTTAGTTTTCAATAGCGAATTGCAATGATACAATTTTAAAATCTTTTTTAATCACTTTTTTTTTTTTTCTTTCAGTTTGAGCAAAAAGAGTCAAGTCATAAAATAGAAACACAAATCCCACAACATCAAAGCATGGACAATGGCAAGTGCTTAATAAAACACATTTCGGGAAATGTTGCATCAAATGATCCAAAATCTTCAGTTCAAGCCCTCAGATGGACTCATATACCAGCCTAAAAAGTTAAAACGAGTTAAAATCTATGGGTCGAAAAGTTTTGATCATATAACATTAGCCATTCAATGCAGTCACTTCTGATTCCATTTTTGTATAATTTTTGGAAAGAAATGAAAATCCAATCGATCTGTGTAAATAGGAAAAAAACGCTAAGAAAATCTTTTGTATAAACATTCAAAATGCTCAGTCAATGGACGAGTGTCTTTATTTGACTTACAAATAATTTAAAAGTGTTTCCATTTAATTCCTTTTGTGGTAGCCATTAAAAGTAAAAGAATACGGTGAAAAATTACAAGTCACTATAATGGAGAGGGAGATAACTATGACTGTTTGTGATAACTATTGGGCTATTTGCAACCACTGTATGTGGAGGTTTCTCCTTCAACGAAAATAAGTTCGTTTGTTTATTTAACTGAAAGATTTAATATTGAAAAAATTATCCTCCTGTGAAAAAAAACAAACTTAGATGCAAAATATTTATTATATTTGTATATATTATTTGTGCAAAATAATAGATTCTCTCATTATTTGAAAGCATTCATTTGTTGAACTGTTTGAAAGTTCACTTTAGCAGAGTATGAACATTTGAAATTTGCCAAGATAAATACTAATATTACAAATTAGTAGATTTCTGACATTCATGGAACTGAAATAGAAATACTATTTATGGGTACCATTTTAGAAAGTTAAAGTTAAATCATTTTGTATTACTTTATTTCTTGAGGAGGTCTGTTTTCTCTGTAAATGCTGATAATTTACGCTACTTAATGGATATTTTGAAAGATACAAATCAATTTATACATGAATGAATGAATATATGTATTAAGTGTCTTAATCTTACATGTTAAAAATTTTGGAATAAGCAAATGCTACTCTCTGTGGTTGGGAAATAAAATGTCTTTTGCTTTAAATACTTCTTATATCTTATAAGGCAGCAAGTAATATTGCATTTTCTGTTAAAATTCATTGTATAATGCTACTCATTAATCATGATTCTGGTTTTAATAACTTCTGCACTTCTTTTGGGCTTCATTTCCCTACCAGTATTTTGTATTTGCAGATCTTTGAATATCAGTATTTATAAATTTTACTATTAGGGTTTTTTTTTTTTAATCAGATATGTATAAAATATAAACAAATGTCAAAGAAATTTATAATAGTATATAAGCCCAAATGATTTAAACTTATCCACATTTTACTATCTTTACTAAATCTTCTTGATGGTCTGTTGCTAACTGATTGATTGTTGTTGTTGCTTTATTGTAGCTAAGATGCAGATAAGTTTGACCAATTGACAACAATCCTTTTGTTTCAGTTGATTTTTCATGAATTGATGAAAAGTTCAATATTAAACAATTTGTCTTTCAATACAAGAGTTTATAGTTTAGCTAGGTTTGATATTAGGTTGAACAACCAATGGTGACAATTGAACTGTTAAACAATCACTTTTGGTATTTGATATAAATATCTATGTCTGTCATTTAAAAGTTCTTAAAACATGTGATCAGGAAATGAGAAGATTCACATTTTGTTTATATTCTGTTCTCTCTTTTGTGGTGCATATTTGTCAAAATCTTTTGCTAGCCACTGCCAGTTTATGTATGAAAAAGTTTTGCTTACAGATGCCTTTTATTTTTCTTGTTTTCTTTAAATGCATTTGTGTGTATGTAACGAAACACACTATGATTACACTGCCAAAAGTATATTTTGTTCTGATGTTAGCACTAGATATAAATAAACAAAGACAAATCAGATACTGTAATGTACCCTTACAGTCAGTTACAGAATAACTTTTAAAATAGGATTTGTAAAAGTTTAACATTTTTCCAAGTGCAAAGAATTTGGAATTCACTTTGCTCATGTGGTATCATGGATATGGACATAGTGGAACAAAAAATTAGAGAACCGAGTCTGAATTCCATTTGAGTTTGATACATTCCCCTTATGCGGAAAAATCCCTTGGGAAAGATATGAATCTATCTCTTCTTTTCCCAGCTAAGAGTTGAATAGCAGGACAGACATTGGTTCTTTGGTTGACAACCTACCATAGAAAAATCTTCTGTCTAGTTAATCATAACTTAAAAGATACATGATCACCCAAGCACATGGCACTGACTGGGTAAAAAAAATCTGCATAATAATTGCTGGTGACACATAAAGAAAATCATTTTCCATAATTTGCCACAAGTTCCTCTGTATTTGTGCAAGTGTAAGTTAGTTGATTTGTTGTGACACTTTCTAATGAAGAATGTTGGCTTATGTCTTACCTTGAGATGACAGAAATGCAATTTAAATTACAAGTCACCAAATTTCATTCTTACATTTATATGAATTTAAATATCTAAAATAAAAAGAGAGTAGGCAATGATGCACTCTTATTTTACTGTTTTTATTGTATTTTAAACAATTCATTTTTGTCCTCAAAGATGAATACATGGACAGTAAAATGAAAACATTTTACATTATTTCTCTTTCCTTACTGTGAAGCAATAACATTTCAGGCTTTCTTTTTACAAACACTGAAGATATGTTTATTAATCATCTTGTCCTACTGTAGAGAAAAACTTTGAACCATCAAATTCATTCTTTTTCAATTAACAGAAGTTGACGGGAACTTTTGACATTAATCAAAATGCAAACTTTTAAATGGGTACCTCAGTTTGTTAAGAATAACTTAAAAAAATTTGACAAATTTAATTCACATTGATGAAAACTTTGATTTCTTTTGATTTTTCTTTAAACAAGAACAAAATATTCTTTAGTCCTTGCATTTTTGGTAGGCAAGACAAGAATTTGGGGTTCAGTCAAGTACTTTTGGATTTGCTTATTTTTCAATTTCTATATTTAGAAAGGTACCATAATCTTCAGCCTAACAAAATAGGATTTTATATAATTTTTCTTGAATGATCAACTACATATTGGGGTGTGCATTTTTATATGTAAGAATTTCACAGAATTTTTTATGATTAACAGTTTCTCTTTAAAGCTTTTTATTATTTCCATTTACTGGGAAAAGACGTCAGTAATTAACTTCATGAGAATATCTTGCAATAGGGATATTGAAATTTTTACATATAAATATATAGCTGACAAATTCTAAAGTGTCAGTCTGAGGAAGAGTTTTATATATGAACAAATTGATATAGATTTTGTGTTATGTTTTATTTTTGGTATAACAAAAGAAAATAGATTTACATTATGAAAAGTTTGTTCATTTCAACTGAACACATTTAAATTATCAGCAAATTTTAGTCTTCATTGTGAAAATTATCTTTCCTATTTCAGATGTAACTTTTGACATTGAAATATGTGTACAGCTCAAATAAAAAATATCCTTAAAATTCTTCTTTTTTTTTTCCATTTCTTTGCATGATCTCAATAAAGTGAATTCCTTAAACATTCAAGTCCTAATAAACACAGCTATTTAATTGGAATACAATGAAAAGCATTATACAGAAGAGTTAGTTATTCATTTAAAGGAAATTTGAACACTTAATTTTCTGAACATTATTTGAAAATTTTCAAGAACTTTTTCATTATTTTTCATATCTTAGTCTCATTGAGTTTATTTTATTTTACCATATTTGCTTTTGTTCACTTAATTTTTGTAAATTTTTGGTTTTAACTAATCAAAGATTTATAATTAAGGACAGCTCACTATTTTTTCAAGTTTGTTTCATTGAAAGAATTTTTAAAACCATTTCTACATTAAAACAAATGCGAATAAACATAACGTGTTTGATATAAAAAAAAAGACCAAAAATAATCAACATGGTTCAAATTTCATCAAGAAAAATGTTTTATCTTTTAATGTCTTAATCCTTTAAGTCTCTTGTAATAGAAACAAATAAGTTTCTAAGTTAAACGAATGTGCAGCTGAAAAGTTAATGAAGCATAGAAGAAATTGCTATTTCTTAAATCTGGTACGTTGACAGAAAGCCTGAGTTTTAAACATGAAGATGTTAGAAAAGGTAGACAAGTCTGATCGGCAGGTAAGTAAAATAGGACATAAACAGAGGAGATGAAAACAAAATCAACCAGGAGTATAAAAGAGAAAAATGTGCCAATGATCAATCATATTTAAATCTTTGAATTTAACACATGTAACATTAAAAACAATGAAATCTGCTCTTATAATGAATGGCTTGTTTGATCTGTACATGAGAAGTTTAAAAAAATGTTAGCCAGTCTTATGAGTTCACTTTATACTACAGTGTGTGTATATATATATATATAATCTCATTATATAAAACTTAAATGAAGTTACCTTGTATTTTTCTATCTGAATTCCTGTATATTTTTTTTTCTGACAAGCAGAAAATTTCTGCAGCGAAAGAAGGCTCTTTAAAATAGGATCAATATAAAATGTTGATCAAGTGTTTATCTAAATTAAAATTATCTCTGATATTTTTTATAAATTCAGGAAATCTTTGATTCTGAAACCTAAAAATCATTTTTAGGCTACAAGCAATTGGGTTAATTCATAAGACAATGTTCTTTAAGAAATAAAACTAACAAAAAACAAAGTAATTTAAATGACATGAAACAAAAACTCATTAAAATCTGTTTTGCAAACATTTCACAATCAATGTTTGATAATAATGAAAAAATAGAAGAAAAATGAAGTTCTGTATAATGACTCAGTTGGCTATCAATGTTCTATAACTGGTGATTTAAAAAATAATTATTGTTTTGAAACTAATAAAGATAAAAACAATGTGACACTGAGGCTGTAAGGTGGTTCAACATTAATTCTAAGCAGAAAAATGGTTAAGCCCAAAATGAAATATAAACTGGAAGACATTTTCCCTGGTAATGTGGAAGTGAAGAAAGAGCCATCTGGGTTAGAATGATGCACCAAGAGTTTTTTTTTTTTTTTTCTCTACTGAGAATCTGGCATGTGATTAGAGCAAATTGGGAAATTAGAAAAACAGGTCATTGGCAAAAGGAGAAGCAGATAGGAATTATATTTTTGTTAGCAAAAGCAAATTCAGAAATGAAAACAGAATGAACCTGCTGCATGGGTTAGGATTATGAAAATCAATCCATCACAACAAGCAGATGATCTGGGTTATGGTTTTGCTAAGATGGCGACCAGCCCAAAGATCAAAAACAGCATGTCTCTTTTGTTGAGGATTTAGGTAAACAAATACATTTTCATTGATGAAAACAAATTGGGAAATAATTTTTATCTCTCACTCAGAAAGTTAAAATGAGAAGATGATCTGGTTTGTGTTTTCACTGGGCAAGTGGGTCCAGAAAAGGAGTCAGAGAATTGAAATTAATGGGGAGAATAAACCATGCCTTTTCTCCTACACACTTTAAAAATTAGATTTGTCATAAAGACAGTTACACCAGCCCTGAGAAGTGGGCAGAGTTAGAATACCAAGGAGGAAGGGGCAGAGTTTAACCCAACATGTGCAGAGTAGTGGTGCAAGATGTGAAGTGAAGCAGGTTGGAGTTAAGAGAGGAGCAATCCCTGTGACTACTCCAAGGAAGGTGAATAATTCTCCAAATTTGGAAAGTTGTTTAGGAAAGCAGAAATAAAGAATAAAGAACCTTTATTGTAATTAATGAAAGTTGGGGAATCACTGAATTCCCAGAACCCATTGGACCCATGCCAGTTTTGGGCCAAAGTGCTTATAAGCAGATGACTTTGGGGAGCTTGGAGACTTGGGCTGAGAACCCACATCAAGTGCCTCTGGAATTCATGTCAGCTGCCATCAGAATTCCTGATTCCAAGAACTTTAAACCTAGCTCCTCTAGAAGTTTAGGCAAGGCCCAGTGTCACTATAGAGATTGATGCAGGAAGGATTAATTTTTGTTGTACCAAGAGCTATATAAACCAATTGAAGATTAACCCCATGAATTTTGTTTTATTTTTTCATTGTATAGATAATTTCCTTCCTTAATGTAGCACCTGCCACAGCTTGAACCAGTGCTGCCATTATGATGACATTTGAACGTCTACTGCTCTGAGTTTTTGGTGTGAAGGCTGGTTGATATGTGTGTGTGAAGTGCATTGAGTTCTGACAGGTGGCAGGTCAATATGTGAGAGAATGGTGCATGTGTACCTGATGTAAAATTTGTTTTTTATTATTATTAACCAAAATACAACCATCAACATAAGACAAATATTAATAGATAATACCAAAATACTCTAAAGCACCCAATGCAAAGAAAGACTCAAAACACTAGAAGCTATTATTATTATACAAAATAAACACTCAACATTAAATATCATTCACCACAGAACAGGAAATGGTATCTTCAAATACATATATTTAATGTGTGCACATATCACAATAAAAAAAAATTGCTGCCTTTAGGTGTGGCCTCATCCCCAATAACCATTACGTATAACATCAGCATCAACTGTTTCAAACTGTCAGTTTTCCAAAGAATACCAGGATGTAAACAAAGGAATTTTGTCTCCCACACAGACATTACGTTGGTTCTTGAAAATGACCAAAACATCACATGAATTTCAGTTTATCCACAATTTCGATCACAATACACATCTTATTCAAAAATTGGAAAACTACAATAAAAAAAATTAGACAGACCTTGTTGGTTCCTTTTAATCAAATTTGTTTTATCTATATGTATATATATATATATATGCACACACACACACACACACTATATGATTCTATGGTATTGTAAATTTAAAACAAAGAGTTATTAAATACTGAAACCCTTTCTTGACGTTTGACCCACTCTGTATATTGTTCAATAACATTGTATTAGAATTGTTGAAAAGAAAAGACAAGACAAGACAAAAATCAAGACAACTCACAAAATAAAAATATGGTTTAAAATACCTTAATCTGCCAGTTGACAAAACAAGATATTTTAATTACCTTTTATTATTTTATAACTTATGATATGTATAATTTTTGATTTGAAAAAACATCTGCTGAAGTTCAAATATATTTGTTTTTTTTCCCCCAAAATCAAGATTTAATTCCATATTCAATATTAAAAAATGCCAATTAAATTGGAGAATTAAGTTTTCACAAAAAACATTTTTGTTGCAATATAAACATAGTTTATAATGTAAATATACAAAATGGATATGTTTGAATATATCAAGTATATATATTTACAATGTGAATTATAATGTCAGCATCATGCATATAAGTTTAACTCTGCAGATTGTTATTTGTAACGTGACAATACAATGCTGCACATTCTAGATTAAAAAAAATATATATATATATATATATATATATATATATATATAGTTTTTTCTTCAGTAAAAAAGATTGTCTGGTCTTTAAAATGAAAAACTGCTGAAATGTTTTTCAAAAATTTTCACATAAGCAGCCCTTTTTTTTTTTTTTTTTTTTTTTTACTGCAAATGTACCAATTTTGGAAAAGACAAATGGAGAGAAGGAAAACATAACCATAGAGATATTCTATTATATTCAGAAAATGCCTTGTTTTCATTTTCACCTTTAATGTTTTTTTTCTCCCATTAATATTTTGCACAGGTTTGTTAAAAAATTGCTTTGGTAAAACAGAATTAGTTAAGAAACTGATTATGAGTTTGAACTTTAAGTAGGAATTGGCAGCCTTGGAGAATATACAAAAGAAACCATAGTATTTAACACTAAAAAAAAAGTTCAATGTAGATAAACTACTAAGAATAGAATTATTTAAGTCTAGCACATGTATAAATTATAAAACTATAAATATATTGATATTAGAATTGTGTAAATGATGAGGGATTTTATATGACTTAGGATAACCTGAATTTACTTAAGTACCAAAATAAATTTAAAAAGCACTAAGAACCATATTCTGAATGTTTATGTCTTCCCAAAGTTTTCATTTCTATTTAGTAGCAGTTGAATGAATACATTTTTAATAAACAATTTTATCTTCTTTCCATAAATAATTAAAATGGCAAAGTCAAAAAAAAAAATCTTGTCTTCAATTCTCATGTTTTGTGGTGGATTTCTTGTGACCAACAAATTCTTTTGTTTACAACTTAATGCCAAATTCTTTTAAAATTTTAGCAATCCATATGAACAAATATTTCATCAAATTTTTAGTTGAAATAAACATGTTGTAAAAAGCTTTACAGTAAAGAACTGGTTGTTGGAGAATATCTGTATAGCTTTTGTTTTCTTTAAAATACATTTACAAAACAATTTTGTTTTGTTCATCTTTTGATAGAATTTTTTAAGTTTATAAAAAAAATTCTATTTTGTCAATAACAACTTTAATATCTTGGAAAAAGCTTTAATGAGTTTCTTTTGAAATTTCCAAAGTTATTTTAACAGCTGAAAAATGCCCTCATCAATAGACAGGTTTGTAAAAAAGAAAACAGCAGGATTTAACAGTTTAATGGGAAAATGTCAATCACAAGTACAAACTTCAATGAAAAGTTTGTGTGTTAATTTATGAACCAGTTTTTGGCTTAAAATGAAAAGAAATTATTTCTTCTGTGAAAAATGATCAAGTGGGAAAAAAATCTTACACGTAGACAATGTTATTTCACAACAAGCATTCACTAAAACTGGAACTCCTAAAAAAAATTCTTTTGTTCTCATGTTCATTCTCTCTCTCTCTCTCTCTTTCCCTCCCTCTCAAAGTAATTGAATTTCTGCAAACAAATCCATTTTCTAACCAATCAGTTATATATTAAAAGCCTCTTCACACATTATTATATATATATATATATATATATATATATATATATATATATATATCAATCACACATCCAGATACAAAATGTTCAGATATATTTTCCTTTTTTTTATTTTCACAAAGAAATATGGCTTATTGTTTTTAGTATATATTTAAGTAAAACTGGACAGGCTTTTTTGAAAAAGTTGTGGGAGCTGGGTTTTCTTTTGTTTATAGAATGCCTTGTTTTCCTTCTCTTTTCCAAATGATCACCATGCCATGCGCATCACATGACGCTAACAAACTCTCATCATAATTGAAACAAACATCCAGTACTGGAGCTGAGTGACCAAGAAGTTTGTTCACACAGGATTTGGTTTCTTTTGCAATATCAAAAAAATACACACACATGTCTTCACTGCCGGAAACTGAAATAGACAAAAAAAAATTGAAATAAGAACGATTAGAAGTCACTCATTTTTTTTTTTTTCATAAATACACAAAACCAAATAATATAATAATGTAATAAAAAAAAACAATGATAAAACTTAAATCAATTCTATTTGTCACCTTTTTTGTACTTTAACCATTTGCATAAAGAAAAAATGTATATAACAACTGGATGACATGGGGGTGGGATTCTCACCTTGGCCCACTTGCCAAGATTTGACCAAAGATCAGATTTTTTTTCTTGGCCAGATTGAAAACTTCAATACTCCTTATGGTAATAGTATGGAAAAATTTTAGCATCAATTCCATGTGTTTTTACTCTCTCTCTCTCTCTCTCTATATATATATATATATATATATATATATTAAGAAACGGACAAAGTCCGACAATTTATTAAAGACATTTTATGTTTAACATTCTTTTTATAGATACAAGTATTTAAGTAAATGCTCTGTTTTATAATAAACAGTATTAAATAACATTTACCAGCCTGAATATCCGAGAAATTTTCATAGAAAATATTCGTCCTTTGACAGGATTCAAACCTGCATCCTATACAGAACCGTCATTTAGTTTGACGTGCCTAACCTCTCGGCCACAAAGGATCGTTCGGTTGGCAAGGTCGAACTTACTGCTTATAAACTTCAATCTTCCATGAATATCGTACATTCATAACTGCTCATGGCGTATCAAATGTAAACAAATGACATCATACATTAAGAAATGGACAAAGTCCGACAATTTATTAAAGACATTTTTATTAAAGACATTTTAATATATATATATATATATATTCAGGCAGCATATCTTAATTCAAACATGTTTCATTGAATAATATAGACATATTATGTTTATTTTTATAAGAATCCTTTCTAGTTATCTGTACAGTTTCTTGATGTTAAAATGAAATTTATCAAGGTAAGCACAGTAATTTTTTTTCCTATCCAAGTACTTTTGATCTCCTCCAAGATCATCCTCAGGGGTGGATTGTTTAATCTGTTCATCAGTGATGTAATCTGTTCAAACTCTCATTAATAATGACTTTCATAAATACATAATTGATGAACACATTAGACGAGCCATTAGAAATATTAACATACATCAAAAAGAACATATTACTTCCTCAAATAACCCTAGACATATATACCTACTATACCATAATCAAATGTATTCTAACATTAAACAAGATGAAAAAATCATAAAGAATCTCCTAAGTACTAATATATTCCCCACTGATCTTAGTAAAAAAATAAAACTAATTATATATTATACTAAATTTAACACAACCAACTAAATCATATGCAATAACTCTTCTCTATCAAGTGTTTTGGAAAAGACCAACATTTTATATCAGTTTAAATGTCCTTTGGGAGATTGTATCACTGATGAAAAAGTAAGTACATATGTTGGTTTGACAACCAGATCATTATCAAGATGTCTTACATTTCATTTGTCAGATACAAGCAATATTGCACATTTAAAAACACATTCCTGTCAACAAGTATTTTCCTGTATTATGAATACCAACACCAATATACTATACCACAAAAATAATAAACACAAACTTCAAATTCTTGAGACCTCCTTCTATATCAAAAGTAAGCAACCAAAACTAAACAAAATTTATTATGAGTGTAGCAGCAATGTTTTGAATTGCATTTAACCAAGATTTAATGCCATTTTGCATTTCCTCCAATTTCTGGTTAGTGTCTTTATATTGGAACTCTCATTTCGCAAAAATTCCATAGTTACCCTGTGGTAGCTATGGAATTTTTCTTTTAATTTTAAAACAATTATAACAGAATACATGTTTTTAGAAATCATTATTACAACAACCAGTTACAACACTCTGTATTTTTGAGTTGTAAATTTTTTAAAAAATTCAATTTACTGTAATGTACATTATTAACTTTAAGTCAGGTATTAACAACAAAAAAAAACAACAAGGTGTAGATGAAAGAGTTGTCTGTGAATTTAAAACAACAAATTGTGAATGCTTGCAATTCCAGAACAAGTGCAGCAGCAGCAGCAGCAGCAAAGCAGTTTTCAGTACCCAAGTCAACAGTACACAGTATATATTTTTAAAAAATATTGTTAGACAAAATCATTGCAACTCTTCTTGAAAGGGGTGGGTAGCTGTAAGGCTAAAAACTCTCTCTCTCTCTCTCTAAGAACCTTAAACTTGTACTGAAAGATATTGTTTCCAATTCCAAGTGTTCATAAGCTAAGCAGGGTGCTCAATAAACATCTTTTTTTCTCAAAAGTTATCATCATAAAGCACAAGTAGAATTTACTTGTGTCTGGGCAAAAGACAGTGATTTTTTAAACTTAGTTTTATGGAGTGATGAAAGTAAAATTGGATTTTTGCTCAGAATCAGGCACAGCATGTGTAGAGGAGAATCCATGAACCCTAGGAATGCTGTCTGTAGCATAAAATATGGGGCTGATAATCTTTAGGAGTGTTTTAGGGGAAATGGAAACGGTTGTTTAAAACTGTCAGGATCATGAAAAAAGAAGAGTACCATGATACTTTAAAAGAAAAACTGAAAAACTTTTTTGAAGATGACATTTCAATTTCTAACATGATAATGATTGTAAGCCCACATATGCACTGATGAAAAACAAACTCAAACTTTAAAAAAAAATGCTTGTCCTGCAATGAATCCAAATCTGAATCCAATAGAAAATTTATGACAAGAACTTAAAAATTAAGAGTTCATTCATGGTAACCTTCAAATTTAGTAGAGTTAAAATAATTTTATTATGAAGAATGGAACAGTATACCAAAAGAAATTGTAGTTGATTAGTTACTAACTGTAGAAATTGTTTTCTTAAAGTTATTGACCAGAAAGCTTAGAATAATTTTGTTCTTATCTATTTTTGTTCCTGTTATGTTCAATAAAGTGGCTATGAAATAAAATGTTTCTGAAATGGATTGAGTATTTATTTGGAGCCTAAGATATTTTATATATAGAAAGATATATGATTAATATTATTTTAAATGAAATTGATTGAACTGTAGATCATTTTGTGCCTCTCTTTCTCCCACACATGTTTAATGTTTGTGTGTGTGTGTGTGTGCGTTAAAAATAAGCATAATAAAAAATATGTGAAACTACTTGGTAAAAATAAAGACAAGGAAATTGTATAATGAAAAAACACAAATATGGTTATATGCCACAAATGGTTCTGAGAGAAAAAGAAGATTAAAAAAAGCATAAAATGTACTCACTGACACAGGCTCCCTGCCTAAAGGACATAAGAGGACAAAAAGTACTTTTTACATGGGCTGTTCTGTGTTTAATTGGAAATTTTCTCTTCAATTGAAGGCCACCATCTTCAGAAACAATGCTGAGGAAAAAATTAGTGAAAAAATATGTAAATTAAAAAAAAGTTAAACTTTAAAAAAAAGAAGAGCACTCTTCTCTTCAAATAAGCCATAAAATCTATTTTACTAGTTTATTAAAAACGAACTGCAATATCTAAAAATCTCCAAAAATTACTGATGGATATGTTTACATTCAGAAGAAATGATAACAAAATTAATGTTATTCACTGATGAAAAAATAATATTGTGAAATAAAGAAAATGTTAAAGAACAAAATGCATAAAAAGCCTGCGAATTTGAGTAAAACAAAAGAAAAATTATTAAAAACCAACAGCTTAATAAATATCTATTCACAAAACTTAGTATACCTGAATAAGAATAAATAATTGACTGCACAATTCACAAGTAAAGAAGGATCTCTGGCCTCTCGGTTGATCCAGCTTCTGGCTGATATACATGTCACAGTTCGGTTTTCACACACCGTGATTCTGGAAAAGAATCAATAATCATGGTTTATCCTAAAGCATGTGGACTTTGAATTAAAGACATAAAAATTATTCTCAGTCGCAATTATTTCTTCAGCTTTTAAACTTGTATACATCATACATGATGCATTAGAGAAAGTTAGATAAACAGAAGCAATGCTTTAGTATCATGGGAATGCTAGTTATATGAATGTAAATTATTTTTAAATAATGATAAAAAAGTGATGATAATGTTTGAAAATGAGGAGTCTATTTAAAAATGTTTGTAATTTACTATTTTCTTCTTTTAAATATTTATGAAAAAAAATTTCATTTTTATTTACTTTTAAAAATTTACAAAAGACAATGATACTTTTAAAGAAAATTAACAAACCTTCTGCCTTTTACTAATTTTCCAGTTGCTAAATCAAAGAGAAAGGAGAAAATAAATCCTTTGTCATCACCAGACCACAATATCCGTCCATTTGAGTCAAAGGTCATGGTTAAAACTCGGCCAGCTGCTTTTCCTGTACCTCCCTGCCATAAGAATATCAATAGATCCCTACAGTTATTTTGTATAATATTTAAAACATATTGCATAAATTTAAATATTTCCTTTGAAATTTACATTTTGGTTTTAATTGTAAAAAACTAACACAAGGTTATTGGCAAAAAATTACTTTTGAGTACTTAAAGTAAGTTTTAAAGGAGTTTTTTTATGTCATTCAAAATGACTTAGGTTATACCATAATTGATAAAAGTTAACTCAGTATTATGAGTTGCTCATGAGACACCAGAAGTATGGATGACCAAAGATGACAAAAAAACTGTTTTCTTTGTGTGTACAATCTTGTATACTAAAAAATACGAAAGCTAACCAAAGGAATAATTTAATTATTTTCTTAACAATCTTCCAATATATACTAAATATGTAATTTTGTGCAAGTAACAAAAAAAATTACAATGAACCATGCAGGCTGATCCATAATAATGTGGAGTGTTCACATGGTATAGGTTTGGCCCACTGGTCCACCTAGACATGTCATTGACTAGATTATACTACTTTAGGACCATTTGTATCCATTAATCAAATCCATGCATCCCAACAACAATGGATTATTCTATAGGATCCTTCGAAATCGCTAAAAAAGAGCATAGCATGATGAAAAAGACACCAAGCTTGATGAAAACAAAATTTTATCATCTAAATGTTTACGTTATTATTAAGAGGAAAGATCAAAGTATTTTTGGGGTATTCTTTTTACATTTTTTAATCATTCCTAGCACATCCAAAATTTTCATTAAAAATCTTGTTTTTTTTAGTCAACAAAATTGATAGATAATCGATCATGTCAATCATTTTTTTTCCATTTTATAAAAAAAATGAAAATCTCAGTTTGAAAATCTTTTAAAAAACAATTATAATTTTTTCAAAACTTATTTTAAGAAAATCAGAAATTATAATGTTTATTTAAAATATTTTGAAACAAGCATTATTTCTGCTCCGAAAAGGTGTAGTTTGAAAATAAAACAAAGCAGGTCATAACACTTCGCTTCACTTGACAGGTGACAAAAGACATTTTGATGATGTATTGATAGCTTACATGAAGATAATTTATTCTACAGAAGGAGAGAAAAAAAATTATTTAGATTTAAGTGAACAAATTATTTACCTTGTTATTTTTAAGGAAAACTTTCAGCGCTCTAATTTTTTTTTTGTACTTAACTTTCACATTTACGCTTACAATGCTTTATGGAAAATATATTATAAAGAAATTAAAATAAGACTATTGAGAGTGAGATTAAATTTCATAAGAAAAGTATCTAAATAATTTATAGGTACCTTTCTTATGAAATTTTATCAGAAATGTACATAAAATACAAATTTACATTTCATAAGATGATACTGATACTTGTAGGTACCCTTCTCAGTTGAAATTGAAAAACCAAATTAACTTCTCCAAACATGTTTTGCAAAAATAAATCTATCTCAAAAGGATATTTACGAAACTGAATGCGGCTTTTAACTAATTTTATAATATTTTAACAACTTAAATGTAAAAATCTATTATAATTAAAGAAATAACAAATAATTGTATTAAAAATTCAGTATTTAAGTTAAATACTAGACAGAAACTCAATCCACATGACTTTTTTTTTATTGTACGCATGATACTTCCAGTCTTCCATAGATTTGATTTGCAGTCATATTATTGACACAAATTATATATTTTTTATATACTGGTGTTTGTTAGTTTGTAAGAAGCTTTGGAAATTATAATCTGTAAATATATATCTACTTAATAACAACATTCATTAAATTGTATGAACTTTTCCCTAATTTTAAAAGAATTAACAACATTTAATGTAAAAATAATAAAATATTTCAGAAATAACAAATAATTGTTTTAAAAATTAATTTTTCATCAAAATACCTTTTTGCTTTCAGACAATATTGTCCATGTTTATTAAAATAAATAAGAGCAATTAAAAGCTTTTGAAATTAAATATTATTTTTGTTTTATTGAGTTTTGTATGTTTCAATTCAGAGATGATTTTCAGGCAGAGGTGGTCCAACTAAAAAAAAAAAAAAACATGATTTGATTTCTTCAAGGCCTTGTGCTTTTAACTAATATAATCACTAATCTGCCCAAAATTGAAATTATAGAGTTTTCGTACAATTAGTTGGGGGGGGGGGAAATACATATGAAAAAATATTTTTGCCATGACTTTAAAAAAGGAAAACATATTTATAATAAGTTCCATCATTTGTGAATAGTTTCTGAAAGTTTCATTAAAATCCGACGATTATTTTTATTTTTGCAAGATTTTCCAAATTAATGTCTGTCATATGAAAAAAAAAAAAACATGCTAAAAATTTACATGTTATTTTACTAGTTCCGGTGATACAAAGAGAAACAAGGTTTTTTTAATCAAAATTTAGAATATTCTAAAAAGAAGGAAAAATTTTTTAAAATAATTAAAAAATACTTTGATCTTTCCTCTTAATAATAACATAAACATTTAGATGCTAAAATTTTGTTTTTGTCAAGTTTGGCATCTTTTTCATCATGTTATGCTCTGTTTTTAGCGATCTCATGAAGGATCCTAGAATCTAACAGGATAATGTACCATGCCATGAGAGTCCAAGTTGCCCAAAACTGGTTTAAGGAGCATGCTAGAAACTTTCAATGAATTATCTAGCCAAGGGTTCAATTGAGCATTTAAGTGACATGGTGGCGATGTCTATTTGTATGCAAGATCATCTACACCTGCAAATATCAGGAAAATGTTATCTTCATATGGAATAAGTGCCATGCTGAGTTGCAGCTATTCACCAGAAGGATAAACAGTGGGTCCAACATGATGCTAGGCACCTATCCCATAATTCTTGATATTGAATCGGTGGGAAGCAGTTAGACAACAAAACAATATATTTCTTTGTAAATATTTCATTAAAATACAAAGAGTGTAGCCAAGTTAATTATAATTTAACCTGCCTTATAGGTTTGCAAAGAAAATCCTTGACAAATGTCTTAATTCTATACACATTTAAAATACATGCATTATAAAATTATTAAATTTGATTTGATATACTAGAGAAATTAAAAAATACACATGTATAATCCTTTCATTTTTTAATACTTGATACAAAAATCTGATATCAATTCTTAATTAGTTATAAGCATTAAATACAATGAGATTAGAATGAAAGTAAAAATTTATGGGAAAATAAGGATATTTATGAAGAACAAAAAGTTTAAATATTTATAATCATATCTAGCTTCTCTGCAATCTTCACTTTCTCATTTTATAAAACCTTGTAATTGATGAATTTTTAATAAATTTTATCTTTCTGAAAGCTGAAATAAGATAGTGATAATAATTTCAAAATCATCTGAATATGATTTTTAAGACACACTGACATATTTATGGGTACTATAAGTTTATTTTACATTGTCAATGCTAACAATGATTTGCTTTTCTCATTGTAAAATAACAATACAGATTTATTCTTGTTTGTTAGTATCACCATAAATGTCTCCATTAAAAAATAATGAAAGTCACATTACAAGACTATCATTTCTTTAATAACTAAACTTTTACAAGTAAAGAAAAGTCTGCTAACAATTCCATACATAAATATAAATTATGTAAAGAAATGATTGTTATTAAATGAGGAAATCATCATTATTATTGTTATTAATGATGCATTTGTAAGTTATTTACCTTACAACATTGACCAGTTGATACGTTCATCACTTGTACATGTCCTTTGTTGCTACCAGTCTGTATTTCAGTTAAGGAATTTAAAAACAAACAAGAAAGTTTAACCCACATTAAATTCAAAACTGATTCTGGTCCTGCATTATTTTGCCTTAATTTAATTTTTATATACTTTAAACTATACATAGATTAAAGCATTTTTTCTTTTACTCTTTTAAATGATTTATCTATTTTAAGGTGAATGGTTTAGATATATTAATATTAATTTGTCAAACAATTTAATTGTCTGCCATTTTGTTAATTAACAAATATACACAAATAAAAGGATTAAATGAAAAAACAAAACATTATTTCCTGTTAAGGTAACAAATTTTTAATGCACCATTATATAGGCAGGCATCAATTAGATTCCTTATTTCTCCCATCAATGGGAGTTTTCCTAATATTCTATCACTAGAATTACCCATAAAAATTTTCCTATTCAAATTTTCTGACTAATCTTAATTCATATGGAATAGTCCATTATTTGTGAGGTATTGGTAGAAGACATTAAACACTTCTATCTATCGATTCTTTTATTTCTTTTTTTCATTTTCTCACTGAAATCAAGTAGCATCAGTGTATCTGTTATAGTTTCTTAAGAAATAAATAATAAGCATTACTTTTGAAGTATCCTTTGTATATTTCTTCACTATGACATTCCCTCTTCTAAGCAACAATCAGTCTAATGTTGTGTAGCCAGTCTTTTTGCCTACTTTTCTTCTAATGTACTTTTGATCATCATGTGCTGATCTATATCACACACACATACATACATACACAAATACAAATCACATACAATGACAAGCATTCATTGCTTAATAAATCACCACTATGTTATTATAGACAATTTACAAATCGCAGCAATGTGACAATTTTCTAATCGCTCTATTTTCATGTAGTCAATCCCAGAAGCTTTCTTAAGTCTCCCCAAAACTCGCTCGCGGATTGGTCAATGCCAACCAATCAGATTGTCTGCATGTGAAGAATAACTCTTCCCGCGCAGCCATTTGGAGCATATAGTCACTTATATAAGCAAGAAACTTTCTTAACTAATTAGTGAGAATTCAGCTGTCAAATGAATCCACGACAGTTGAAACCATGCGCCAACCTTCTCACTCACACCACCACTCACATGCTGAACATTCCTTATAGACTCATATAATCTTTCCTTACACAGCAAAATCTTCTGAGAACAATTATTACAAGAAACTCTCATAAACTTTCTTCCAGTCAACTTTGAAATACAAAAATAATATATTAAAGAGAGACAACTCTTGTTTTATTCAACCTTTTCTTACTTAACTGCATGCTTTCTTTCACATCGTTGTTTGATTGTACATCTTGTTAAATACATATTTTATGTGTAACAATGTCATTTGCTTATCCTTTTACACGTTAGTTTTGTTTCCTAATCTAAAGTTAAATTAATGTGGTGAAGTCCGCCTCAATCAGGCCCAAAATGTGAAATTTTGATTTAGCGCTTCATAACATCTATATATAACCTGAGACTACTTTTTCAGTCTATGCTCAATTATTGATTGGAGGCATGCTTACATTTTCTTTAATGAAATATGTTTTTTGTAGGTCACACGTCCTATAAGACTAAATTGTTTTAAGTGTGTTTTTTTAAATAGTAATTACACCTATTTTCAAACTATATTTTCAGTTTGTATCATTTTTTTCTATTGACTGCAATCATTTTTTTATTGTCCATTGAAAGGTGCCTACCCAAGCATGTATCCTGTATGGCACCTGACTGACTATAATAAGTAGTAACAAAATTGGATTAATAATTTGCAAGATAAACCTGATAAATATTGAATTATTTAATCTCTTAATTGGTTACAGAAATATTATGATAAAAACAAGAAAAATATTATGGAAACATTTAAAATTTTACTAAACTGAACTAATAAAGAAAACATTAATATTTTCATTATTGCAATTGTCAGACCTTTTATCTACTCTATTTAAAATGTAAATTTTTAAAACTAGTGCCATATCTTGTTTTAGATATATAAGAAGAAGAATTTTTACACAAGTTAATCATTTCACTAGAAAATAAGTATCAATATAGTATTTTACTTTTACATACATTACACATCAGGGTTTACAGTTTCTTTCATCTAAATTTCTTCTGAAAAAAAAAAAAAAAAATAAAAAGAGAAGGGAAGTAACTACCAAAATCAGGGATAATTTTAGTAGTTGCCTACTCAAATTTAGAGTTATCTCCCTTAGACCAGAATCTTAGTTCCTGTAATCTCGCCATGGAAAAAAATAGTCGAAGATTATTATTACTGAAGTGAACTTGATTCTTACCGGGAGCCCTACAATTCTGACAGTGTCATGCTAAGTAAATAGCTACACTCAAGACTTAAACTTTGAACCAAGATTTTGGTTACATATTCATTTTCTTCATTTAAAAGGAGTTAACATTTCATTATTATTCTCATTATGTGTGTTTGGAAAATGAAGAAGAGCTGCTTAAAACGAAAAAAAAAAACGATAAAAGGAAGAACAGTTTAGATTGAGGGCATAAGCTCATTACTTATGTTGTAGTTACAATTTTCAATAGGTGCTCAATTAATGTGGCTTTGTACCAAAGTAAAATTAAACTTGTACCCATACCTGAAAGAAAAATATATGGACAATGTAAAACGAATATATGAGGGAGACAATGGAAACTCGAAATGGGACTCACCAAGAGACGCATTAGTAACATTAGAAAATGAGCTCATCCCAAAGGAGAATGGATGAAAAAGGAAAAAAATGAATGGATGACTGAGGAGATTCTCAACATGATGCAAAGGAGACAGAAAACTCTGCCCTGATACAGAACAGAATACAGAAAAATACACAAGGACCAGACAGGCTAAAGAAGAGTGGCTAAACAAAAAATATGCAGAAATACAGAGATTGAGTACCACAAAGAAAGGAGATAAACAGAACTACTAACGGACCTGAAATTCTAAAAACCAAAGTAGAAGCTGCACAGTAGAACCCTGCGCTGTTTATGAACAGAAACAAGGTGGCAGGGCCAGACAGAATTGTAGCAGAAATGCTGACAGCTTTAGATGAATTTGGCACAGACAAGATCACAGAAATAATAAATGAAATCTACAACAGTGGGGGCATACCGGAGGATCTCAGTAGATCTATTTTCATAGAACTACCTAAGAAACCAGATGCAAATGAATGTGAATTCCACTGAACAATCAGCCTAATGAGCCATGTAACAAAACACATCATCCGTATTCTGATGAATAGAGCACACAGCAGAATCGGGCCAGAGATAGAACAAGAACAGCATGGGTTCATTAAAGACACCAGAACAAGGAATGCAATATTCATGCTCAGAAGGTTATCAGAAATAGCAATACAAATGCAGGAGGATATGTATCTATGTTTTATAGACTATGCAAAGGCGTTCAACAAAGTACACCACAAGGATCTGCTGGAACTGCTCAGCTACCTTGATATATTCAGGAAAATTATTAGAATAATCAAGAACCCATACTGGCAGTAAATGGCATGCATACACATTGAGAATGAGTTCAGCAAATATACAAAAATAGAAAGGGATGTAAGGCAAGGATGTGTCTTCTGACTGGATTAATTCAACCTATACAGCAAGACAATTCTGAGAGAATTGGAGATCCTACTGGGATTCAACATTGGCAGCCAGAATCTTACCAACATAAGATATGCAAATGACACACTACTAAACCTCCTACAGAATGTAGCAAGAGAAGAAGGGACTAACCATAAACTTACAAAAAGACTGAATGCACAATGTGTGTATGTCTGTTTTATATGCAGATATTGTGCACCAGAATTGCTTTCACAGTGATGTCTATACTGGGGTCATAGAAAGTTTTAGGCCTCCATGATATCAGATTTTCTCTCCCATGGGCTCATCCAAAAGCAATCATTTCTTTAGCATTCTGGCATAGATTCTGCATGATTGCAGAATAAGATTGCAAATAATTGTAAAAAAAATTGTACACACACACACATATATATATATATATATATATATATATATATATATTGAAATCAAATGCTGGTCTCAACAGTCGTCTTTGGAGCCTTGGATGCCAAAACTAAATGTAAGCCAATACAAATGATGTGAAGGGTAAGGAAGTGAGAAAGGAAGCAGCTCTCATCTGACTAAGATATGTCAATCACCATATATATATATATATATATATATATATATATATTTATTTAAGGGAGAGAGTGGATGAAGCCATATTGGGCCCCCTAGATATTTGTGCTAGTATGTTGTACTGTTATCTGTACATTATCATTGTTGTGTGATTCCTCCGGCAATTCTGTGATACAATTTCTAGCCATTTTACCATTCTTTTTTTCTATTTCTTCTCCTCCTTTTGGGTCTTAGTGTAAACTTGTACAAATGGCCATCCTCCAAAAAAGCATCTGATAAAAAAAAAACATGATAAAGTAGGAATACTTACATTAATTAAATTGCTGTATAAGTGATGAAAAAAAAAGAAAACTTACAAACAGTATGAATAACTGAAAAAGATTTATATATATATATATATATATATGTGTGTGTGTGTGTGTGTGTGTGTGTTTCAACCAGGTTATCAATAACAATAAGTACAAGTATGTAGATGTATAGAAAGGCCATATGGATTTGGTGTGGATATTTGTCCTTCTATGAAATCTGATCAGCATATCACATTATTCAATAGACCACTGAAAAGATTATGATACTAAAACAAGGGATTAAGCATTTAAAATGGGAGACAAACATTTGCTAGCATAATCATCATGGGGGGGCAAAACTAAAAAGGATACAACAAACATGTTATTGTTCAGTGGTTGAAAAAGACAGCATAATAATTCAGCTCCACTGCCATCTTCAATGACCCGAATGCAATTTCCTGCAGCTACATCCCAAAGCCGTGCTGTTCCATCAAGTGACACAGACAAAATGATATCATTTGATGAGGACCAAGAGAAATCTATAAAGGTAAAGAGATGAACAAAATAATTAAATTAATGTTTTGATAAATTCAAGTTAAATAAACAAATGTGTTGTTTGTTCTCTGAACAATGTTATAAGAACTTCAGTGAAAAGAAATAAGTATAAATGTATATTCATCCCAATAACAATTTTAACAAAGTTTCATTTACAGATTGTTCACAAGTTGAGTAAATAAAAATGATTGGGAAGTTTAAATTATTTTTAAAAATACATTGATACATCAAATTTAAATCTTATACTCATGTTAGAATTGATTTTTAAAAAAAGTAGAAAAATCAGAATTTAAATAAAATCATGGAATTGAAAATTCATTCTACTAAAGAATCTTTCTTGTTTAGAAAAACTTGGATATGAATAAAAAGATGATAAAAAATATTGGGTGATAATAGCTCTTTTCATCAATGAAAGAGAGATAATTTTATAACATGTCAACCATTATTGGGTTTCTGTCTATATTTCTGAGATGAGCTATTATGTACACTGTTTACATTATTCGGACTATTGTCCTCATCTTTGTCACCATATTTATTGTGTTTCGGACGTTGTATGCTCCGGCCTTCTTCAGGTGGTTGGAATGTTGAACTGAACCCTTTATTTTGCTCACTGGGGTAGACTGTTCTAGTTCCACGTGCCATGTTTAATGGATGTCAGTTATCAATTATTATCAGTTATCAGTTATTAATTCCCCTCTCCAAGTTCTCCACCACCTTAACCAGGTATTGAACTCACACTCTTTGGGTCCTGTTATTGGATCAAACTAATGCCTTTATCCACTGTGCCATGTGTCCTTGAGGATAAACACTGTTCAATACCTGGTTAAGGCTGTGGAGAACTTGGAGAGGGGAATTATACTGCCTTGAGGACACATGGCACAGTGGATAAACACTGTTCAATACCTGGTTAAGGCAGTGGAGAACTTGGAGAGGGGAATTAACAGGAGATAACTGATAACTGACATCCATTAGACATGGCACGTGGAACTAGAACAGTCTACCCCAGTGAGCAAAATAAAGGGTTCAGTTCAACATTGCAACCACCTAAAGAAGGCTGGAGCATACAACAGCCGAAACGTTGTAATAAATATAGTCACAAAGATGAGGACAATAGTCCAAATAATGTAAATAGTGTACATTATTGGGTTATTTAATATCGAATTTCATATGTGTGCAACTAGTGAAGATTGCCATTACTACTGAGTAGTAATGGTCAACCGGGACAATCATTACACCATACTAAGGTGCCTAGGAAAGAGAGAAGGTTATTTGCTGAGCAAGTAAAGGACAATAATGCATCATTTAATTTTGTTAACAAAGATAACTGGACTTTTGTGAACAATGATTCATTACAAACGAATTGTCTGTAAACTTTCACCAATCTATAATATATACAAAGATTTATTCTTTATCCATAGACTTAAATATATGTGAATGTCAGTGTGTCACACTTTTTTCAACTTTACTTATTATTTACTTACAAATTACTGGCAGATTTGCACAATCATCTAGTGAACACAAACAATTGCATGTAATCCTCTATTGTGCTTTTGAACTATCTGGTAATGTGTGAATTGTGCAGTAAACTATTTAAAACTATCAACCAATTACTTAAAATTAAAAAATACACAAATTCCATTATAACATTCTGTATTTACATTTGATATTTACTGCCAGTAATATGTACCCAACATGTACACTAATTACCAGGAAATATGTTTTTCCACAAAGGTTTTAATTGTACCCTTTTTTCCATATATATTTTTTGAAAGTTTTATTTATTCATTATGGAAATTAAATAATAGCATAGTTGTGGTTGGCCCCTTTTGTTGTCTCCTGGCAACCAATATTTTTAAACCTGGCCACCACTGGTGGATGCTGATAGTATGGTAGTATAGGTTAAAACTTCATACCAATAACCAGTTTTTTTTTTTTTTGTAGGTGAGGCTGCTTTGTTACATATAGACTTCTGGCAAAATGGTATCTGATATGAAATTATGTCCAAAGCAAAGATGTATCACTGAATCCATTGACATTCATTGACCTTTGCAGAGATCAAACAGTGTATGAGAGCACAGTTAGTTAGTGAGTAATGTTCCAGCAGTGGTGAGAGTAATGTATATGACTAGCTACATTCTGGTTAATGCTGCATCCAGGAAATGAAAAGCTCATCAAAAATTCATATTTAATAATGGTAACTACATGGAAGAAAAATATTTTGTAGCTGAATAATTCCAACAGTATTCCCTGTATCTTTTGTGGTTTCCATGGAAATAAATAGGAGGCATTATTTTCAGAGCATCCCTTGTTTAAATGTAAAGTTTCTTTTTATTGTTCCATATTTGGAGGACACACTAAATTCAAAGAGTCTGTAACAAACTGTGATAAAAGTATTCCAATATTTACCAGTCACACCACTGCCATGACCTCGTAGCATGCATATGACTGTAGCAGGAGGAGGAATCACTTGACATATAGATAATGTACCATCTGTTGATGAACAAGCAACTCGTGACTTATCATCATTTGCAAATCTTACACTTGTGACTGGAATATAAAATGAAATATAAAAAGAATTAGTGAAACAGGTTAAAAAAGGAAGTTTTTTTTTAATTTTAAGGTCAATTAGTTTTATCTCCTGAAATCATAGCATAATCCTTACTTTTGATAATAGTATTTAAAAGAAATTACACAATATGAATCTTAACTGTTCCTCTTAGCAGAGTTACAATAAGAAAATATTTTGAAGATAAAAGACATTCTCATGATTATTAATTTTTGACTCTTTTCTTTCATCTTATTTTATTGCTTTTTATCAATATTTATTTTCTGTTAAGTTTTAGAGTAAATAAAACATAACAACCTATGCATTACAATAAAAAGCAACAAAAGAAAAAGTAGTCAAATTTAATAATGCCTCATCTAAAAATTTCTACAACTTAAGACAATTACATGTTTAGACTCATTAATTATCTGTTGATTCCAAAGTGTTTGTCATATTTCTCTCAGTAAGTTCAGTACAATATACATTTTAGAGAAAAATAAGTTAGCACCAGCCTACTTTACTTAAATGTTATATTTTAAATGTGATATTCAGAAAAAAATTGTACAACTATAAGTTTGCATTTTATCATAAATCTGATAATAAACCCAAATAAATTATTATTGAATGTATTAAAAATATTGGAAAAAAAATTTACCTATCAGCAAACATAAAATGTCTTAAATGAGTGGAAAGCAAAGAAAACTGAATTTTTGAATATTAACTATTTAAAGATACCAGGTTAGTAAATTCTATAATTTCTTATGATCTTAATTGGTAGATGCCTCATTCTTTGATTTTAAATTATTATCAGGAGAAATCATTAAAAGTTAAGGTACAATACTAAAGTATCAGAGTTTTATTCAGTGTGAGGTTTAAAATCTAGGTTATGATAGGTAGCATACTATCTTAAAATTTAATTATTTTTTAAAATATTTATGAATATAATTTATTTCTATAAATTGAATTCTTACACTAATTATTTGCTGTGATATTAATAAGTAAATTTTTACTTAAATTATTTACGCTCAATGTCTAAAATCGTAAATCTAACAATATTAAAAAGTTTCTATGTATTTAATATACAAACATCTAAATCACTCTTTATTCTACAAATGAGACTTAAAAGTTACCTCCCTTGAATTAGAAAAAAATTCGTATTCAATAAATAAGTGGTGATTTTTCTCAAACATTTTACAACATAGCATGAAATTGCATTACCAGATTCATAAAAAGTTGTTTACAGTTAATGTATCTTATCATTCATATTCTAGTTTAATCAGTAATCCTTTGGGATTGATAGTTAATTGTGAATGTAATTCAACAAAGGAATATTGCTCAGCATCACACTAAATTTCTATTCTTGTTCAAAATGCACAGAAAAAGTTAATCTCCTTTCCAAGAACATAAGTACAAATAACAATGATATAAAAATCTGTTTTATCAATTTCTTGAATTTTCTCTTCACCAGGCAACTTTATATTGCTATTAAAAGTAATTATTTGGTTGAGTCAAAAGTTCCTAATGCTGTCTTTTGCACAAATCTAAGAAACATTTACTCTTTTTTGCTTGTGCAATCAACCTGCTATAGGATGTTGTTACAGGAAAAATTTAGAAGCTAGGAAACTGATTTCTGCATGAAGCAAAAGAAATGAATGTTCGTCTTTTTCTTCTTAATCAACAAAGAAAAAAAATGATTTTGGGACAAAATGAGAAAAAGATTTATTATGATAATCCAAAATGAAGAAAATTATGGCTTAATATAGTGCAACATTTAACACATCAACATAAGTAGAATCTAATAAGGATAAAAAGGTTAGGTTGGTTAATTCTACAGTATTTCAAACAGGGCATCCAATAAGAACCAAACTTACTATTCTGTAGGAACATTGAACTAGACGAGACTCATTAACCATTACCCATACCAAGCCACCTTAAGGATGAAAAAATTCTCTGTATTTAGCAAGAATGGGGGAGAATCCTTTAATTCTATTTATTATTCAATCATTTCCAAAAAGTTCAACAAAGTCTTATAATTATCTGATTTTTTCAAATTTAAAAAATTAACAATTTTTTTTTTAATCTCCAACTTTATGATTTTATTGTTCAGTCCAGGGTAGTGGTTCAAACTGAGTGGGAAAGGAATGCATCATTCCAATATCTTATTCCAAACTCAATCAAGTTGTGTGTGCATGTGCTTTTGTGTACATTAAATGACACAAACAAATGTCAGATACTCACACACATGCAAAGTCTCACTCAGTGTGTGATGGACAGACATTCAGCTCTTCTTTTATTGTATAGATACTTTATCCATATTAGAAAAGATGATTATTTTCTAAACCAAAAATAACTCAGATTTAAAATAACACATTACTCAAAAAAATGGTGACTGACAACTTTCAATTTAATGAAAATATTTTAAAAATTAAACAATGAAATAGGCTTTAAAAGCAAAAACAATAATAATTTGTTTATTGCTTGTGACTATAAAATCACAATATTTTGTGAAACAGCTTACAATAAACTGGAGATAATGGACAGACTGAATGAACCCCATTGACTTTTCATACATCACCTGGACATCAACCTCAATATATTTTCCATTGTCTAATCTAAGAACCATGATCCCATCTCCACAACATGTATGTCCTACTGCTTTCCATTAATTTGAACATTGATTATGGATAACATCATGTTTACATTTTGTCTGGGCAAGGGACCTATGCATATGTCTTATCCCTCCAAATTGTTTCCCAATCTGTCCTGCAATATGTGGATTGGTTTTCAGACTGAAAACAGTATATAGTTTTACATTAGCCATTTTCCTCCTAAACAACTCAGACAAATTTTTGCCATGTTGTTCAGCCCACTACACTTAGAGCACATAATCACAGCACTTTTTTTTCTCATTCCACAATATCATACACTGGCCATGCAGTTGATGCAACTGATCCTATTCCTCCTGTCTTAATATTACCCTGACTTAAGCCAACATTAAAAAACAATGCTCATGGCATACATGCAAGAGGAAGCATGAAGGAGCGAATTGACATGGTCTAGCAATTCTTCAATGAAGCCATATGCCAGGCATTCTAGTAAAACAAATAACAGCTTTCCCTACTCTGCCAAATACTTGTGAACAAACCTTCCTGGACATTATTCTTCATTGGTAGTTCTTGCTAGTAAATCATTAATTTCACTAAAATAACTGATGTCTCCACAAAGTTACAAGAATTCAGCTTTCAGTGAAACAATAATAAGCTTTTATTTCATTGGAACATCATTCATTGGTTAGTTTGGAAAATTTGCATACATTATGACCTCTCTGCATATAGGTCACAAAAGAAATACTTGTTCCATTTGCATAACAATGGCAAGTCAATGCATACACTATAGAGGGCCACTTTTCCTGGTTGGTCAGTTTATGATTTTTCCCACTATAACATAATCATAATAAATCAAAATTAATGTTTTGTGAAAAAATCCTTGGATAACAAATAAATTTTATTTTGTGTGAAAATTTTGTGGGAAATTAAAAAAATAAACATCTTTATAAAAACACGGTTTTCAGAAAAAAATCTTTTAAAAGTTTTACAATGCATGTTCTCTTAAAAAAAGAAATACAACTTTCTTTGATTTTAAAACACTTATGAAAAAAAAGTGCTCCAAATCAACAGAAACCTCTTTTGTTTTAGAAACTGATACACTTTAGCCATTCATACAGAAATGCATTTAATTTGCTCTGTTGCAAATGCCTTTCTATTCATAATTCTCTTTAACCAACAAATTTATATTCCATTTCATAAAATGTGTTATTTATAATCAATTTACATGTCTCAGTAAACCAAAATTCTAAATAATTATTGGCTGGTGTTAAATTTCCTTATATCAGATAAGCCTTAAAGAAAAAAGGAAAATCCATTACTAAAAAGTTAAAAGAGAGAAAGAATGTGAAAATAAAAAAAGGAAGGAGTGAATGGAACAGTGAAATATAGAGAAAGTGTGTCATAATGAAACATTAACTTTTTCCCAGTATGATGAAAACTGGGTTTTTCATTATCAAGAATGAAAAACCCAATATTTTCATTATTAAACATGTTTTAATCAAATTATATTTAATATAAAGCACGGTAAAAATATGTTTGTACATTATTTGTATGTATAAAATATAATCAAACATACTGAAATAAAATAACCATTAATGAGACTTGAAAGTATATCTAATATCCTACATAAATGATGTGTTGATAAATTGGTTGAATTGATCATAGGTTCAACTTTTGAGTATTTAATTACTTAATGGGATTTTATATCCAATAAATATATGATAAGTGAATTAGAAAGTGATCAGAGTAAAACTAATTTTCATACATTGCACAGAATATAGAAATATATTTATTTGGATTGCAAACTTATTCATTTTCATTTTTTTTAAATGCCATATCTCTTCAGGATGTATGTAGGTGATCATTGTTCTTCATAGTTTCTGTTTTTTTTTTATTATCTGTTAATTCTCATGACTTCTTAGGAAAGGCAGTTGAGTGACTTCTAATTGTCTTCTCTATGGAATTCCTTCTCCTAGACTGGCTACTACTCAAGGTTAGAGAGCCCAATCTATCTAACTATTTAATCCATACCTGCAGGGAGAAGAGAGAGAGATTCATGCCTCTCCCAAGAGCATGTGTGTGAAAGTGAATGCAACAGACTAGGCAGGAATTTGAACATGGCTCAACAATTTTACTTTCTGTGTGAATCACCACAATGCTACCTGTATATCCTTCTGACTCATTATAAATCTGCAATCATTATCAGTGTTTGCTTTCAAATTTAAATGCTTATTAGGGCAAGTGTCATGGAAATGCTGTAGGTTTCTAAAATCAAAAGATGTAAAAAATAACTATGGTTATGTGTTACAGTAAATTGATCATTTGATCAGATATTAAAATGTAGAAGAATGATTTAATCATCTAATTATAAGCTTTAACAAAGGAAATATGAACAAAAATGAGTTATATATATATATATATATATAAACACAAATTGCTCTTGTAAGACATTGAATTAGATACCATAAGATCAATGTTTCAAGTGTATAAGGCTGATTAAGCATAACTTGAAAAAGAGAAGGAAATCTGGAATTAAATAAATTTCTTTAACAGTACACTTAGCAATAAAACAATAAGGAGACAATATTATTAATGTTATGAAAAGCAAAAGGAAGCTGACAGCTTGGGGATAAATATATTAAATGTATTTTAAAGTAACTGATCCAATGTGCAAAATTTCTGGAAAAAATTGCTAAGACATTACTTTACTGATTGGACCATTTTGTTCATGTCATATTAACTGAAAAACACTTATAACAAAAAAATTTGTGGATTTGACACATTACTATTTTTTTTAAAATTTTCTCACTTGAAATATTCAAAATAAATCTCTAATGTTGCCGCACATTCTGAAATTGTACCGTTAATAAATAGCACACTTTTAAAAAACATCTTTTGGCTTGCAATACATTTATTTTCATCTTGGAAATTTACCTGAAATGAAAATAATATTAATACCTGACAATGAATGAGTGAATTTCTTTGAAAGTACTTCTAACAGAACATCTAATCCATCTCATAATTTTAAACATAAGGGTTGTGTCATTCAGAGAGTTGTTAGTAAGTTAATATTTTATTGATCTGTTAGCGAAGTGATTTCGCCATTAATTACATTAACTTTACTGATTAATTCTTTGGATGATTACTTCTTTATAATAGGATAAACAGATAGTCATTTGGCTACATTTGTAAAAACAAAACAAAAATACATCAATTAGAAATTTCTTGAACAATTTTTTGCCAGGAAAATGAATAAAGAAATGCATTTAAGTTTCATTTTTATTTTAAACATATCTTCAAATCCATATATAGATTTTCTAAGAATGTGTGAATACATTTATCTATTTATTGTTGCTGGTTATCTTTCCTTGTAGTTAAAATGGAGCAGACTATTTGTGTACTTAAAAATATAGAGCATAGCAGCAGGAGTTAATTATTAAGTGTCTACAAGTATCACTTCAAGAAGATAAAAGTAGAGACTATCCTAGCCAACTTGACAGAGGTTAGTCTATACTACAAAGCACCAAATAACTTAGTTTTAGAGGCATAACTGGAGAGTGATGGACCCAACAACCCAAAGGATTGTTTACAAGCCAGATATATATATTTTTTAATTCTTTTCAATATTAAATAATCAATAGAGTTGATATGTTGTTAAAATGACAATCAATCAATCAATCAATCAAAAACAACATTTTCTACCTTTAAAGTCAGAAAATACTTTAGATTGTAAGAATTGGGAGGAGGAGATAATAATGGTTTTAGTGAATACAAGTCTTACAAATTAACCCATTTCCCATCTTCATTTTTGTGCGTAAGTAAATATAACAAACCTAATGGGAATTGGAATTCAGCTCTCTGATTAACAATTCCATTATCCATTACACTACCTGCACATCCAAGTTTACAGCATCTGATATTCCCAAGTGGTCACCTATTTAGGTACTGACCAGGCTCAATGTTGCTTAACTTTGGTGATCATATAGAAACTGGTGTTTCAACATGATTTGGTTGTATCAGTATACGAACATTAGACTGCACCAAAAATAGTTGTAAACATTTTATATATATATATATATATATATATATATAAAACTGTGAGTAACAGTGAATGACAAGAAATAGTATACTATGAGCTTATCGACAAAAACTCATAGTGTGACTAACTCCGACTGTGAGTAGCTGCAGGCATTATGCTTTATTGAAATGTGATTTTTTTTGTTTATTGTTAGTTCAATCAATACAAGGCCCAAGGGCCACTCAAAGTAGAAGGTTACTAAGTGATTAATGTAAAGGAGGGGGAAGGGGGGAAGTCAGAAATGCATAGGATGGATGTAGGTAGAGACCAAGATTGTAGTTGTCAGGGAAGCATCCTCTTGGGAGTGTGTTCCACAGTTCTGAGGAAGAAGCTGTCTGAGTGGAACTTGTTCCTTATCAAAGAAACACAAAGAGAATCAGGATGATCTGCCATCGTGAACATGACATGGTGGGTCCTAGCTGCAAAGGTCTGAGCTGGTGGAACTAGGAAATGTAACTTGTTTGAACATCTGCCAATAGTAATAGTGATAGAGTAGTGAAAGGTTAGTAATGTTTCTTTTCTGTGGGATAAGGGTTGCAGAGCAGAGAGTAATTCATCACCCACAAGGCAGCATAAGCAGTTTTGAACTGGACAGTGAGACTAGAGAGTGAGGATTGAACAGAACCAACCGAGATATGGTAACAATGCTACATTCTTGATTTAATCTGAACCAGCCCATATATGGTAGCAATACTACATTCTTGATTTAATTTGAACCAGCCCATATATGGTAGCAATATTACATTCTTGATTTAATCTGAACCAGCCCATATATGGTAGCAATACTACATTCTTGATTTAATCTGACTCTACAAGAGATAGAGCATAGCAGCAGGAGTTAATTATTTTCTAGAGTGACACAGGGAACCATCCGTTCTTCAAGCATCTTTTGCAATGAAATGAATATATGCATTCCATTTGAGGTTAGGAGTGATCTTTAAACTCAGTAGGCACTTGACGCTTGAAGCCTCTTTGAGAGTATGACCACTCATCAGGATTGTTGCAGGTTTAGGCTCTGCTTGGTGGTGATGGAATGTTATTAGTTAAGTTTTGGATGTACTGAATGATACCAGCCAGTCTTTTCTCCATTGAGCTGTGAGAGTTAGGTCAAAGGAGAAGCCCTTGTCATCAAGATATTTGGAGATGCAACCATACACCATGGTATCATTTGTATATATATTTACTAAGGATCTGACCATGTTCTTAGGCATATTGTTAATATAAAGTAGAAAGAGAATAGAACTGAGGAGAGAGACTTGGGGAATTCTCTGATAGACTAAAAGTTAAATTAAAAATTAGACCATAATAACTGGTTCTAATTAAGACATCAGTTTATGAATCTATCAAGCTTTTTAAAGAAATCTTTACAAAAACCAGTGGTTTAATATAGTTATTTTAAAAAAACTGACAATTTAATGAATTGGAAACTATTAGGGATATGTTGCAATTTTTTATGCAAGCTAGATTAAGCCATTTTATAATAATTTGCTAAGAAAGGAAAACTTCTGAAGTAAATCATAATAAACAACTTTGAACATAAGGCAATGAAGATGTACATAATGCATTACTAATTTAAACTTTACATATAAGTATTATAAAACAATTATATGAAAAATATTGTGAAAAACTATTTCTATGAATCTAAAAGTTGATAAGCCATCGTATCTTAATATGTTGGGAAAATCTCTAAAAAATGACGTTACCTTTAAAACTCCAAAGTTGATTCAAGCAAAATATCCTTCATAATGTTAAAATATTTTAAGAAATAGTCAATTCAGAAGAAAAAATAAAGAAAAACAAAAGATTTTTTTAAAATAATTAAACAAAATAATTTTAATCTTATAGAATTTATAGAATCCATTTTCAGTTAACACATTTGGGTACACAATAGCTTAAGGATTTACACTGTTTATGGGAGACAACTCAAATTAACTATATAAAAATTAAAAACCCATTATGTTCAATAATGATATATTTGCACTCTTTCCTGAGGCATGGACAATTTCAGCATAACAATAAATCAATTCCAATGTCTATTAAGCCGTGTAGATTATGAATATGTGAGTAATGTAAATTAATTTTTTAAAAAGTTGTTGATGTTTTTTTTGCAGTGAATGAAAAGAAAACTTTATACTCTCATATAAAGTTTTCTTTTCATTCACTGCAAAAAAAACATCAACAACTTTTTACATGTCAATAAATCTGCAGGTAAAAAGCACATGGAAATATCAAATATCATTTAAATGTTATTTGCTGATGAATTATGCAGTGCATATTTCAGTCTTCATTATTTTCTAAACTGTTAAGGAGATAACAAGGAATTATTTGTGCAGACATGTAAGGAGGTGCTGAAAAGTTTTTGACCCAACCGACTTCCAAACATTTGATCAAATGAATTGTTTTTCTTAATCCATTCTTGGTGTCAGGCTGAGGACTTTTCAGCACTGATCAAACACATTCTATACATACATACACACACATGCGCACATATTATATATATATATATATATATATATATATATATATATATATATAATAAGAGTGCTCAATACAGAGTAGAGCAGATATAATTATTTATTTTTTAAAATTTATAATGTTATGTTAGATTTTTTAAATAAATAATTATATATATATATATATATATATATATTATTTATTTAAAATATATATATATATATATATATATATATATATATATATATAGATAATATTAGTGGAAAATATACATACATATGAAAAATATATCTAAAAATTCCCATATATGTATATTTTCAGAAAAAATTTTTTAAGAGGAAGGATCCAGGTAGAACTCAATGTCTAGGACAGAAAAAGGATATAATAAAATTAGGCATCAAACAATTTGTAGGTCTGATGATTTGGATTCCATGGTTATGACATAATTTATTCCATTAGAATATATATATATATATATATATATATATATATAATTATTTATTTAAAAAAATTCATAACATGATCAAATCATCAGGTTTTTTGAATTTTCCGTATACACAAGGTCTGATGATTGTCATCTGAATTGTGTAAAAATGAAAATAACACTGTCATTTCATTTTAACAGATACATTTACCAAAATTACACAAAAATATCTTGAAATAATAAAGACTAAATCTATTGAATAAAATTGCCATTGGCTACAGCCACAGCCTCCAGATGACTTCAGAATTTCCTGCAACTCTTCTGGATGGTCTCCTTGTTTAAGTTGATGAATGCTACCATAATCCTTGCCTTCAGTTTATCTTTGGTGTTACAGGGAGTTTTGTTGGCCCCTTGCTCAACTGCACCCTACACCTAATAATCAAGTGGTTTGCAGTCTGAAAAGTTAGGTGGCCACATGTAAGGGGTGATGTGGTCACAGAAATTATCTGACTGCCATCACAGGCTATGATGCAGAGTCCTGTTTAGTAATAACCAGGTTATAATTATTTTTAAAATTTTTAATTACCCGGCGGTGCTGTTCTCCCCATTTGGACTCTGATGAAGAAACAGAGGAACCAGCATAAGAATGGGTATAACTATTGAGTTTAGCCTTAATGTTGCTAAGAGATTCAACAGAGTGAGAGACAAGTCTACAAACCTGTGCAAATAAAACCTCAAACTCCAACAAAAATTTTCTAATTAAAAAATTATATTTATTAATCCTTTTTAGGACCTTCAAAATTTTGGTTAAAATTTTTGTTTTTCTTGTGTCAATAGGTGATCATAAATTAGTATGGGAAATCTGAGTATCCTTTTGTGGTGAAAAACACATTGATTTGGAAATTCTTGAAAAAAATCAAATAATTGTTGGATTATGATGCACTTATTTACAAATGAATGAAATTATTTTAAAAACGTTTCTGTTTTAGAAAATGTTGGTAAATATATATATATTTTTTAAATTTGTTATTTAATTTTGAGAGCTTCATTTTTGTATCTTTTAATGTTTATATTAACTTTAAAAACTTAGAGAATTTAAATAATGTTTTTTTTTTTTTTTGTCAAATAGGTCCCCCAATCATAGAATAAAAAATGGAATAAAACTAGGATGGCTTTATTTAATTAGAAAAGCTTATAATTTCTTTTATAAATAAGATATATTGTGTTAAGAAAAAAATTATTTCAATGACTAATGAATTTTTACAAGAATCATTTTCATTTCTTTAAATTATAATTATTTTAATTTGTAAAGTTTTAAAATTTTTTAAATTCTGTATTAATTTGTAGTAGTTAGGTGATATTGTTATTAAGTAAAAACTATATTTATTAATCCTAAACGGAAAAGCTTACCACCAGTATTTTAAAAAGAATGTTGACTTTTTTGTGCATGTATATACATGCCAATTTTTATAAATATAGACGTCCATACATGACATTATCAGAAAATGAAGTGGTAACTATGGTAAATTCAAAATTTATTGCTAATTTTCTAACATTTCCTCAAGTAAGATTATTTATATTATTAGTAATTATCTGAAAATACATTATTAGTAATTATCTGAAATAATTTCAACACTTGACCAATTTTCAAGATGTCCCTGCATTGTTATTTCTATAGCACATTTTTTCTAAGAACTCTTTCTACTCTTTATTACTAATCCTTGGCTATCTATTTTCTTTCAATGAAAACAATCAAAGCACTCTTGCGGGGTCAAGGTTGATGACGACATCAAACTAAATTGTAAAATTAAAAAATGTGCCTCACCCAACAATAAGAATCAAAGACTATTTAGAGTTTTAATTGTTGCAGCTACTTTAGCAGCAAAATAAAATCAACTCTTCTAGTCAGTTTACCATTGTTGGTTAAAAAACATAACATTTTTACCAGATGAGCCTATCAATGTATTAATAACAGAAAAAGTATTTCCGATTTTATATCTATTATCTGTGAACATAAAAATAAAACTTCTCTGGTTTACATTATCAAAC